TTGCTTGAAACGCTCGTCTTCCACTCGGCCAAGCCACCATGCCACCATGCAGGCCGCCATCTCAGAAGTGTGCAATCACAACATCAATCTCAATAATGGTGATCGGGAATGGCTCAAATGGCACCAACGTCTTGGACACCGCAGCTTCGCTCTCATCCGCTACATCATGGGTGCTGGCACTCTTGCAAAAAGCCAACGAGCTCGAGCACTCCACACTCAAGTTTCAAAACGAGTCGAATGTCCCAAATGTGCAGCCTGTTGCTATGCCAAGGCCAAACGAAGATCACCTCCCAAACTACGTCGTTCCCAAGGACACATCAAGGATATTCCCAGCACTCTTCGAGACAACACCTTATATCCTGGACAAGAAGTATCCGTGGACCACCTTGTATCATCAGTTCCTGGACGCACCTATGAGGGTTTCGGCAAAGGTCACAAGTCCACAATGTTCAAAGGGTCAGCTCTATTTGTCGACAATGCAACCGGATACACCTACACTCACCATCAAAGGTCCCTCAACACCCATGATACTCTCCGCGGCAAGGAAGCATTTGAGGCTAATTGTCGTGATCTTGGTGTAGTGGTACAACGATATCGAAGTGATAATGCTGCCGTATTTCACAGTCATGAATACAAACTTCATCTCGAATCCTTCTCGCAGACTCAAAAATATGCTGGGGTTGGTCAACATCACGCAAACGGCATCGTCGAAAAGTCCATTCAGGACATCCAATCAACCGCACGAACCATGCTGGTACATCTTGCTATCCATTGGCCAGAACAAGCTGATCTTGCATTATGGCCAATGGCAATCGATCACGCCGTCTTTCTGCACAATCACCTTCCTGACCAGACTACTGGACTGTCCCCAATGGATAAATTCTCCCGCCAACGATGGCCACATTCCAAATATCATGACATCCATGTCTTTGGCTGCCCCACCTACGTCCTGGACAAGAAACTTGCAGATGGTAAGACAATTCCAAAATTCAAGCCACGCTCCGAACGCCATGTTTACCTTGGTTTCAGCCCATTTCATGCAAGCACAGTCCCCTTGGTACTCAATCCAAGAACTGGGTCCATCACACCTCAATTCAACTGCGTTTTCGATGACTGGTTTGCAACCATTGCTACCAGCATCGAAGAAATTCCTACATTCCTTGAGGAGCATTGGCAGACCCTCTTCACCGACTCCGAATATCAGTTCCCAGCCGACGACACAGACCCTCCAGCTCTTGCCACCATACCTGTTCAACCGCCTCCGCCCCCTGCATCTCCTCTGGATACTTTTGATTCTGCCTCCAGCCCCTACATCACTGGCCTTCCAGACCTATTCGAACCTCGCAGCCCGCCTTCTACTTCCAATATTCCTTCTGTTCCGACCTCCCAATCTTCGCTTGAGAGGGAGAGAGTGCCTGTTGCCCCCATGCAAGCAACTCCTCCATTAAATTCGACGACCGATTCCTCGAATCAGAGGGAGCCAGAGCTTCCATCTCAACAACAGAGGGAGCAACAAGCTCCATTGCCTCGCCCTACACCAAGAAATAAACCAAACGTCAGAAGCCAACCACCTCTACCTCGCGAACGACCAATTGAAGACTTACCTTCCACCCATCAATTCAGTCCCAACTTACGTCGCAGCACCAGATCAACCAAAGGTGTTTCGGCCCCCATTCTTGATCCAGATCCGTCCCAAAAATCCTACTCAAGCAAGGTCGAATACTCCTCCCATCTCAGCGAACTCGACCAATCCATCAATCCTGACTTCAACGACGTCGAAAATCTACACTCATTTCCCAAAGACACACCATTTCTGACGGCTGAAGAGTTAGTATTGACACCCAAACACGAGTCATACAAGCGATTCTCAACTCAACCAGACACTGACGATGGAGGAATTGCCGGTTTCTACGATCTGCACTTCTCTTACCTTGGATACAAACTGGAAGACAAACCCAACTTTGTCTTCATGGACAGCCGAGCTCCAGCTGATGTCATTGAATTCCTCAAGGCTGCCTCAAGCGATCCCGACATCTTAACCTGGGATGAAGCAATGAAGCATCCAGAAGAAGCTGAACAATGGCGCAAGGCAGCGTTGAAAGAAATTCGAGCCCTCGAACACAAACGCACATGGCTTGAAGCACCTGAGTCCAATGCAACTGTTCGTGTTATTCCAGGAACTTGGGTATTTCGCCGAAAGCGACTGCCAGACGGAACCATTACTAAATTCAAGGCTAGATGGGTACTACGAGGCGACCTACAAGACCTAGACATGGACACCAGAGCCGACGTCGTTGCTTGGTCTTCCGTACGAATATTCATGGTACTAAGTCTGAAGCTAGGTTGGGTGATGAAATCAATTGACTTCACAAATGCATTCCTACACGCCCCATTGCCAAAAGAGCTACCTATGTTTGCTCATCTACCTCGAGGATTCTATTCAAACATGCGAAGCATCACTGGAGAACGAACAGTACTGAATCTACAAAAATCTTGTTATGGAACTACCGTGGCCCCTCGATTATGGTTCGAACACGTCATGAAAGCCTTCAAGGAACTTGGATTCGAAAGTTCACCCTACGACAAGTGCTTTCTCATTCGTAAAGACATGATGATCGTGGTATATGTGGATGATTGTGGTATCAGTTGTGATAAGCCTGAGAAAATTGATGAATTGGTCCAGCAACTACGCGACAAAGGCTTCGATCTTGAAATTGAGGGCGACTTTGAAACCTTCCTTGGAGTCGAAATCGAAAAGCTAGATGACGGGCGCTTCCACCTCAAACAAACAGGACTCATTGCCAAGGTTTTAGAGGCTGCAGGTCTCAGTGACTGCAATGACAACCATGTCCCAGCAGGTCCCACACCTCTTGGCAAGGACGAAACCGGTGAAGACTGGCCCCAACATCCTTGGAAATACAGCTCCATTATTGGCATGCTTATCTACCTTTGTACAAATACCAGGCCTGACATCAGCTACGCAGTTTCATGTGCCGCGCGCTTCAATGCTAAACCCAAGGCTTGTCATGCCACCGCCGTAAAAACCATTCTTCGCTACCTCAAAAAGACATCCGACAAAGGGTTGATTATTGAATTTGATGGAACATTGGATTTGGAGGCATACTGCGATGCTGATTTTGCTGGACTCCACAAATCTGAAGACTCCTTTGATCCTGCTAGCGCCAAGTCCCGAGGCGGATACATCATCTTCTTTGGAGGCGTTCCTCTACTCTGGAAAAGCTCCCTTTTGTCATGTATCACACTGAGCACTCTGGAAGCCGAATACATGCAACTATCTCGCACCATGACCGTCCTCCTTGGAATCAAGAATACTCTTGAGGATCTTCTTCCTCCTCTTGGACTACAAACATCCAACCGCTCGATCACCTCTACCGTCTTTGAAGACAATGCTGGAGCTCTCCTTCTGGCAACTGAACAGCGCATCACTCCTCGTACCCGCCAGCTCCTTGCAAAATGGCACCACTTCTGGTCCTGGATTCGCAAACCTTCTGACGGACCCCCTCGCGATGCCAACAGTACTTGGGATGATGGAAAAATCACAGCGAAGAAAATTTCAACTGAACTACAACGCGCCGACATGTTCACCAAAGGCCTAACTCGAGTCCTTTTTGAACGAAACCGCAAAATGATTTGTGGTTGGTAACTGTTCTCGTTTTGACCTGTTCTGACACCTTCGATCTTTCCATCAGAGGGAGAATCAGAACATATATGTATATCTGTCCTGTGATGCGTCACGCGAATCGCGTGACACGTCATAGAGAATGTGACTTTCAAGTTTGTCCCCGAAACTCACAAAATAAATCAACAATTGCATTCACAACGGATTTTCGCGTCAGATGATGAAACCACATCAACTACGCGGACAATACACAATGAATGACAATAACCGGATATGTATGGAAGATCCGTTAGGACTTCCCAGTATATGAATAAATAGCATTAACAGTAGCGATCTTGGAGTTGATTGAGCGATGAAAATCCATCGCTACTTTCAATCAAAATCCAGATCGTTGCTCACAATATTTTAGAATTGGTAAAATCCGTATTTTCTATTATCTATCGTAAACAATCAAATACTACATTTTGAGTATGGGCTGCCACCACGACAAATATACACGACAACTTACAAGTCCGCACTAGCAAATCATGATACTACTGTAGGAGCATAATTCCGGATCTACTTCTGGCCAAGTAAGGTAAATAAGGTCGTAGATCTTATTCTCCAAGCGGTGAATCATCAGTTGCTTCAAGCGGACCGACATCGATCTTTCTTGCGATCCTACAAATGTAGTCACCTGAGGCCGATCACATGCTGCGCTGGCAAACCATGATTTCTTCCGAATCCACTTCTTGGCAAGCTTGAGGTCGAGCATCTGTACCTACTAGCTTTGAATCATCATAGCGTACTAGCGGAATTTCACGTGCTATGCTACACATCGAGTTACCTAAGGTAGGCCGCATATACCTGCCTACCAGCAAACCACTTCCAGCAAACCACGGGGTCGTGCATCCGCCGATCCTACCATCTATGAATCGTCACCGACATCGAACTAACTTTCGATCCTACCACAAATGGACTTATCTGAGGCCGCACATGAGGGGTCCCTACTACTAGCCAAACATTATCGGGAACTACTCCTCCTGGACCTACTTCTGACCAAGCTTGAGGTCCTACAGCATCTGACGTGCTAACTATGAATCATCTGCTAGTCTTTTGTATTTACTCGGTTTAAATGATCAATTTGGACTAGCGGACCAACAACATCGGCATTCGTACGACAGTGCCATTAATCGCAATGCTAAGTGTACACAACATTGTATGCTGCATCAGCTTTGACTCTGCCCCGCACGACGCTCGCGATGACATTACAGTGCAATTCAGTGGACGCAATTTCGACTTTTTTAGAAATTTGTCGTGAACATTACAATAGGTTTTGGGATATTGGAATGGGGGTGAAAGGTGCAAGGAACCATTTCAGTTATTCCGCATTCTGAATGTTGCTTCCCACTTGGAAAATCTTGCCCGATATGGTCATTGTAGTGATGGCCAGAATAATACCAATGGCATTGACCACCATAGGTGCTCCAAACTGCGGTCGTCGGGTTTCTCTCAGTAATGCATTCGTGTCTTGTCCTCGTTCCACATCCCCGTTACCCTGTGCAACCGATCCGTGGTCTTGCTCTTGCCCAGCACTCAAACTGTCACATGGCGCCGTTGTTAGCATCGGCTGTGTTTCGTCTTGTACCGGCATTGCGTCACCACAGCCATAGTCAGGGGGAGGAGATATGGTTGGATCGGGAACTGAGGTTGCATCTTGCACAGTAGTAGGCAGCGGTGGCAAGTAGTAAATGACCAGCTCTGCTATCAATAGCGCTGAAATCCAATAGCCCCAACAATGGAGCTTGTCCACTATTCGAAAGTAGTCGCCAATGGTGTCATCCACTTCATTGACGTTGCCCATCGGAATTTTGTACCAACCAAAAATTTGCCAGCAAATGTACCAGTATCGATACAACATGGGTGCTAGTAATTGACTGTAGCTCCGCAATGCAAAGTTACGATGCTTTTGCCATTGCTTGTTGCGTGCATATCTGTATGCTTTCCAGGTCACATAAAACGTTACGATTCCCGCTGTGCCAAAAGCAATGGTCATGTTCCAACCGCCCACCAATTTGCCTTTTAGGCAGATGAACGAGATTCCAAAGATGGATGCTCCTAGACCTCCGATTACATACAACCGTCCCAGCCATCGATGTATTGGAATGTCCATTCTTCTTAGTTGTGGAATCAGCTGCAAGGGACCAATCACCAACGCCAGAGCACCAAAGGACATGTGTGCGCCCATGGTTATTTTTAGTAGTAAAGTGGAATCCAGACCAGGAAGGACCTCCTCCCAGTCTTGTCGAGACGAAAAATATCGAAGAATGATGGAACCAATCACCCATAGAATCGCAAACGCATAAAGAGACACTGTGTGAATGACCCACGGCCAAGCCCAAACTTTGGTTGTCGTCGTTGGTTCGACCGAGGAGGTTGTCGATGGTGGTAGTAGTGGTGATGCTGATGCTGATGCTGATGCTGATGCTGATGCTGATGCTGATGCTGATGCTGATGAATTGATATCGTCATCAGTCATTGGACTTTGCGATTCGTTGTGCATGATGATGAAGAAGAAGACGGAATGCTGCAGGACATAAACTCCAGGATTATAATGCCATCGCAGAAGGAATGAATCAATCATTTTGAAGATACCGTACACGTACATGTACACGTACGTGTACCGGTAGCTGGTACGCATGCCGGCGCAGTTCGTACATATTGTTGACTTTTTAGAAGGTGCTGAGTTAGGCTCTAATGTTATGGAAGCTGTAGCTAGTGCTGTACCGGTAGCTGTAGCATGCATAAATGCAATCTCTACAGTACCGACCTGTTACTCCACTACCCAGCCGCAAAAAGGCTAATTCAGTTGTTGTAACGCATATGGATGATGCAAAACAAGTATCGACACCGAACTTTGCATTGAAATGCATAGAGCTCAACAAGTGACATTTCAAGAACCCACACCAAGAAGAATAAGAGTTTTGTGAAGCAGTCTTTTTAACCTTGCAGAGCGATCACATGAAACATGCAAGAAATTTATCTTCATTTGAAACAAGCAGCTCCTTCTACATTCTACATTGTTAAAAGGGTTATTGCTACATTCTGATACGGGCTGCCTTCCCACAGTGGAAATTTCGAATGAGATCCATTGTATAGTCGTTGCCAGACACCTACAGGTATAGTACCAAGAATGAATGGCACTGACCACGACCGCGAGTCTCTCTCCCCCTCCTCTGGAATGCCATCCGTCTCTATCTTTCCACATTTTTTGTCTCTCACTCGCATCCTCAAGTCTATTAGCGTTGCCATCGATTCATTCGTCGTGGTTGTGGTTGGTTGTTGTCGTTGTTGTTTGTGGTTGGTTTACTTTTTGTCTGCCCCCGCAGTCATCCTCGTCCAGCGCACGACGAGAAAGTATTACAATTTTTTTTAAATGTAGGTTGAATATATTGTTCCAACGACTACCTGCTTCTTCCTTTTTTTCTTCGTGAGAGCGATCATTCCAAAAGATGATGATCATGATCATGATCATGCATGATCATGATGCATCCAAGCACAAAACGACCTGCGTCGCGACCTGCGAGCGAATCACCAAGGCGTAGAGGGAAGTTGTATAGACGACCCATGATCACGCCCAAACGTTGGTCGGTTCGTCAAAGGTTTTCAATCATGGTGATAGTGGCTGGTGATGATCATGGTGGCAAATCCTTTGCATGATGAGTATGGAAGAAGCTACCAGGAATGTTACGATATCATCTTGAAGAGTCGGCGACGGTCATATTCTCGTCATGGAACAGATGCAATATGACGAGGAGCTGAATGAATGATAAATTACTAAGTACGTATTCCTCTTATCACACAAAAGAACAATCTTGTCAAATCGACGTATGTTGCTATCGAAAATGAGATGCAGTGCGTATTCGCCTCATGTCCGTTGGACATCTTTACATACAGAAATTGCGATATTTATGTCCAATCACATTCGGCCATGTCGTACACGTATGCATTTGAGAACCTTATCGCACTTATCGACAGCTGCAATTCTCACGTCACTTGGAAGGAAAATCCATCCGAACGAAAAAGACGACAAACAGGCTAATTCACAACGAGTTGTTTGGTGACACTCTGAGAATAATCACGCTGTTTCAGCAAGGGCAACAACAACAAGAAGCAGAATTCCAATAGAAGAAAGAAAGAAGCCATGGTGTTTTCCAAGAAGAGTGTGACCGGCCTTGTCGTTGGACTATCCCTGGCCACGGACTTGTCGTATGGCTTTGTAGTAGTTCCCAAGCATAATGCAGGTTTGCAAGCCACAACATCCACCAGCAGTACCAGCCATAAATCATCTCCCGCCGATGGCGAGTGGTTTTACGAAGAAAAAAAGACCTTGTACTCGGAAGAAGAAACAGAGCGGGGCAAACGGCAGTACACCAAACTGAAAGGAGGCAAGACTCAAGTCTTTCACGACAATTATCCATTGTCTCCAAACAAGCCTGCTCCCAAGCCTTCTCCCTACAAGCCAGTTGCGATGACGACAGACAATCGGTGGTTTGCGCAAGAATCTACTCTTTCTTACGATTCCACTCTTCGTCAAAGGATAGCTCCACCGACAGCCAAGACAAGAAGTAATGATGATGGTGAGCAAGGAATGGTCGTACCAATGCCAGAAGGAGAGTCAACGGAGGCAACAGCCAAATCACCATATCAGCCAGCAGGACACACTACTACAAAGACTGCCGTGTCGACCATTCCAGTAGCCAACACGGTTGTTAGCCCAAGCAAGCCCATTGCCGTTCCAGTGGCGTTGCGTCCGGAGGATGTCATTACTCCGGATGGACGATGGTTCAATAACGAATCCATGGTTTCCTATGGTAGTCGAGCCCGCAATCGACACTACCAGAATATCAAGGCAGAACACAAGGCAGAACAAGCAGCAACATCCCCTTTTGTACCAGTCTCTGTTGCCGACACGACCAAGACGGCGAAACGTTCGTCCATTGACGTGACGACCACCTTGCCACTCAAGACAAGAAAAGAAGGTGATGTTGTAGTAAAGCCTGATGAAAAGGCAACGACTATCGCTGCCATGGCTGGCAACGCAATTGGGGATATGATTGCCGGCAACAAGGCAACTTCTGCGGAAGATGCCAAGGAGGAGGAAGCACCAACTGCGGCAAAGCAAGAAGAAACACCCGAACAAGTCGCGGCGCGCATGGCTGCCATTGCGGCTTCCACGGTCACCACCGAAAATCGTTGGTTCAATACTGAAAAGCGAGACTTTTTCCGCCCCGCCCAAAAGCACACTCCCTACACCATTCGGAACCCAGAGTATCATGCATCTCCGAACATGATGGATCCGGATGAAGAATTGGCATCTGCGTCTGTATCAACGGGTGCCTATGTCTATGTCGGGTACAACTCAACATCAGCAGCTGCACCAAAAGTGGCGACGGATTTTGTTCCATTGACATCCACCACGGACCAAAAATGGTTCAATGCGGAATCCAAAGGAACCTATTCCTCGGGTGCCCTAGACACTAGACAACACAAACCTTATATGATTCGGAATCCAGAATATCATCGGTCTCCCAGCATGATGGACGTCGACGAAGAATTGTCATCGGCATCTGCAGCCGCAACCGGTGCCTATGTCCGTGTCAGTTACAACCCAACATCTGCACTAGCAGCTCCCATTGCCGCGAGCAAAGAATCGACCGAGACGGTGGAACCATCGGCTCCAGAATCAGTAGCTCCACCCGTACCAAGAGTGGCGACGGAATTGATTCCATTGACAGCCACTACGGACCAAAAATGGTTCAATGAAGAATCCAAGGGAACGTACTTTTCGGGTGCTCGGAATGTACGACAACACAAACCGTATACGATTCGGAATCCTGAAATGCATCGGTCTCCCAACATGATGCGTGCCGAGCGAGAAGCATCCGCTGGATCTCCATCCGCTGGTGCCTATGTCAGTGTGAGTTACAACAGTCCGGCACAAACAGCAGAAGCTCCAAAGACTACTAGTACTACTGAGAACAAGTCGGAAACCTTAGATGCCGATGCTGCAGGTACTGCTGATACAGTTCAAAAACCGTCACCAGCGGAGGTGTTGGCAACCGAAGAACTTCCCGAGTCCACTGTTTCCACTGACAACAAATGGTTCAATGCCGAATCCATGGGGGCCTACGATCCGAAAAATGTGCGAAAGCACACTCCCTATCAATTGATTCCCAAGGGATTGGATGAAGCTTCGATCCGTACCAGTGCTGATTAAAAAGTCGACATAAATCGTGGAGAATATTGAAGAAATTGGGGGGACGATTTGAAAAATGGGCACATGTGATATATATGTGCACAGGGAGTATTTGAAAACGACGTATTTTTCGTACTAAGGCCACGGCAATCCGTGATCCAACGGTATTCATTCACGGATGATGTAAGCGACACTTGAGTATTTGAAAATCAAATACTACCTCTAAAGTAACCCGGAAATAAGGTATATCAGCCAATCAAAACTAAGGTGTCGCTTACAAACTAAGCAAATGTGGAGGGAAAACCTTAAGCCAATGACAATCTTTTTCTTTTCCAACAATTAAGAGCACTAAAAACCAAAGAACAACTGCGGTCTAGTTAGTCCATTGTCCATGAAATCATGCAAAACATTTTTTCACACACCAGCGTTGCTCGCACAAATCAAAATCTTGCGGAAACCAAGCACAGCAGCAATCACTACAACAAGGACAACGACTGTGACCCCCGCACTCAGGAGTCATTGGAGCACGTTTAAAGGGACATCTTCCCTCTTCTCCTCACCTACTTTGACGACAACTGAGTGCTAACCAAGAAGAAATCGCAGGCTGGGCTAAACACTCGGCTTCTGCCAACTTTTTGGGGGGCATGGACTCCCAATGGGTATCAACTCAACGCTGCCAACTTCCTGGGAGAGCATTATGTGGCATTCGAAAAGCTTTGAGGACGCTGCAACAACAAGGACAATGGAGGAAAGGTAAATTTTTATTTGTTATTGTCTACCAGTAACAAGCACTGAAGGATAGTGTCTTCAAAATTGATTCGACCATCTCTCAATGATTTATGAACATGTTTTCTCATTTCAATTCCATATTGAGCAGGAGTGAATCCATGTTGCAACTGAATCTCTTTTGGCACCAGGTGATCCTGTGGTGTCCAAAACGCCCACCGCACAAACGTTCCCAGCATGAACATGCCGCAATCATTGGAATAGATGGCTTGACCAGGCGAGTTCATCAATACTTGTTTTGTATTTGCATATGGTGTACCAGGATTTGTAAACAATTTCTTCACTTCCGTATGATTAGTTGTTCTCATTGATGGAATGCTGTCAACATAAACAAGTGTCCCATCTTCATTGTCAGCACAAGTCATGTCAATGATGATTGCAGCCCAGTGGCCACAAGCATAATGGCCAAAGAAAGCGGGAACAAAGTGAACTCTTTTTTCCTCTGCAAAGAGATGCCTCACACCCTTCCACCCTTGTCGCCGCATATACAACAAGATCGATGAAGAAACACCTGCAAGTTCATTGTTGCCCCTATAGGTATGCATTCCGTTGATTATCAGTGAAATGTAACCATCAACCACTTGATCACTCACACACATTCCTGTTGTTGCAAGATCCTTCATTGAATATTCGCCTACTATATTGCACATGTTTCTGAGCTTGTAATACATGTTTGGAAGGCACACTTGCTCGTTGTTGTCACCATTGTCTATAATTTCCATCACTTCTGGTATGTCTTTTCGTTTTGCTTTAGCCGAATTTGGTTTTGCAGCTTGTCTCAATGCTTTGTATCTGCGCTTTAATTTTGTGTTTTCTGATTTGATTTTCTTTTTTACTTCCATCTCTACCATCGTTTTACGATATTCTTCCTTTACCTCCTGTGGCATCTTCCCAATGAAAGTACAACTTGATTGCTTGTACCCCAAGCAATGCCACACTCGAGACTGGCAATATGGATACCAAGCGCATCTTCTGTTCTGTCGAGTTAGTTCTTTTTTGGTAAGACTAATCAGCATTTCATAAGTGCGCTCGTCTTCAGTGTTCCTTGATTCTTGTTTCATTTCTAACTTGACATGCTTTGTTTGATTCGGTGCCCCATCAGGTGGCACATAGTTCGGCATTGCCTCTAAGGGCCGTGACAGATGTGTCACTTGCTTTGGTAAATTCTGAGTTTGGATGGTTGGGGACTTAGTTGTTGATTGCTCTCGAAGTGTTTTCATAAGTGGGTTGGAAGCTAAATTGAGCTGTTTACCAAACAGCTTAATTCGTTGGTTGTGCTTCCATGAGGTGAAGTACTTCTTGAGATGATCAACCGTCTTGGGATATATTTGTTTTTGTTCACTCATTGCCTCTTGTAAAAATTTGCAGGCCATTGCATTCCAATCATTGATGTTTGGATTGCGACCCTGCTCAAAGATTGTTTTTAGCTCGGAGTTGTACAACATGAATTCATCTTTTGTACAAACTGGCAAAGGCGCAATTGCAAGCCCAAGCTTTTTTGAGAGGTAATAATGATCGTTTGAGAGTTTGGTTGCTGGTGTTTCTGAGTACCTCACATGATTCGGATCAAATCTCAACGGTCGCAACCCAACCACTGTTGAGTCACTTGGCGGCAAAAAGTCCAGTAAGTTCTTGTGTGTTGGCCAAGGTAATATTCCAAACGTATGTAAGATCCAGTGTTGGGTTTTGTCAATTATGTCATGTCGATCTGTTCCAAAATCTGGCTCACCACATCTTCCTATTCCAATTGTTACGTTGAATCGAAAGGATCGAAGAACAAGGAGAAGGTCAGCGCTCTTCATTCCTACTGAGTAGGGACCAACAAGATCTGCATACTTTTGATGCAGGGTTTCATTGAGGTTAGTACCCCAGTCGGTAACATATACCTTCAGACCGTCTTTGTCAATTCGTTCAACTCGGTATACGTCCATATCCCCGGGTAAGTAATACATCCCCTGCCTTGCATTTTCAATGAATTTTTCAAACCATTTCATAAGCTCAACTGTTCGATATTCCTTGAAGCGATTGTCAGACGACACAAATCTTTTTACCTTCTCCAGATTGCCAGCATGGTTTTCTGGGGTTGGGGTAAGTCGTCGCACACGCTGCCTCCAATATCCCCTATTGAAGAACTCGTGAGCTGCAACGTCCTCAACATTGTGATTGCTTTGAAGTGCAGTCACAACGTTGGAGTAATCTTCTTGATTGTTAATCCAGGTTGCTGCAAGTATCATCTGATAAAAAAAAGCAGTTGCTTCACAGTTCTTTTTCAGTGGTAACTTGTGCAGCTGATGAAAGATGTCACGCTGTGATCTTGTAAGTCCTTGGTACCGTGCATGCTCGGTACCATCATCTCCTTCACGATCATCTAAACTTTCTTCTTTTTCCTCCTGTTCCTCCTTGGTGTCATCATTGCTGACACCATGTACTGTTGCCATATCCACAAGCGATTGGAAGTACTGTTTATCATGTTGGACAAATTTATGCAAGAAGGTATATGGCAGCAAATCGCGATCCTCCTTTTCACCATCAATCACTCGGATCTGTTTTGTTCCAACCACCAACTTTAGAGGCCCATTAATATTAGCCAAATCCTTCAGAGTAAGTGCATCATCTGGCCATGATTCATGTCGTCGGTTTGGTGAATGGCTCTCATCCATTACATTTTCCACCAAAACTAGACAGTCACAACGCCCAATTGTTCTCCCATTCCATCGTCTTTGTTCCCCTCTTGTTCCAACAAATTCTATTGTTCCTTTTGCAATATCACGATTGCGAAAGGTAACAGTACACCGGCTTCCCACATCTATTAAAGTGTGTGTACCTTTGGCGCATAGTGGTTTCCTTGCCAGAGATTCCATAGCTAGATGGCCAACCATGTGGGACACAAGAGCATCTAGAGCACAGTATTGAATATCTTCGTCTGTCAATGTTCTAGCGTAACTAGTAGTTTGAGCATTCGATTTGTCCATAGGATACGTTGACCGTAAATATTCTTTCATCAAGCTCTTCAACTTCAGTCCACCAGCCTTCATAGTTAGTTCTGGACGGTCGCTTTTACATAGACTTCCAAGCTCAACTCGTCTCTCTATAGTGATACTATATTGCTCTTCAAGTTTACTGCAGTCACCTCCAATCTGACGCCCCATTGGCACCATATTCTTTTTTTGCAGGATGCGCCTGAGCGACTCAGGGAATCCTCTCATTTTATACAAATGTAGGATGATGGCAGTTGGCAAGTTGGCAGATACACCAAGATACTTAGGAAAGGATAAAGACAAAACTGTCAACTCCTGCGGCATTGGGATTTCAAACTCTGTATCAAGACCATAGTGGATGTCATGACTATCAGTGAATAATTCAATGATGGAATAAAAGAAGCCATCCGCCGCAGCAGTTGTTTCAAAGACACGGATTTCTCTTTTAGGTACTGCAATTGCAGGGAGGGAGCGAGATCTATCGGTTCCATCATGCAGTGATGGGAAAACTTCATAGAAGGGTCTTTCTTCACCTGTCGGATTGTCAGTTTGCAACATTTTTAATTCCGGTGCACAAACATAGTTGCGCGCAGCTTTGATACCTTGAAGTATGCTTCTGTTTACTTCGTGAGACATTCCCATCTTCCAGGTTGAGCCAACAATCTTCCCACTCTTTGAAAGCAATGTTAGTACAGATGACATGGCCTGCACTCTTTGTTTGCCTTTGGTTGTAACATGGACTTTTTTGCATATTTTGAATGTGTCGTCAGCTCGCAAACCGTCGTCATGCCATGCTGCAAACGAGTTCTGATTGTAACAGAACCGTTTGCCTCCTTCTAAAATTTCGAACAGGGTCCTAGCTTGGCCCACTGTCATTAGTATGCCATTGTGATATCCAGAAGCACCAAATGCAGAATATGGCTCAATTGGGGCACCGTCATAACAAGTGGCATGCAATGGACAGAGCCCAGTATGATCTGATACTGAAGGCCACTTATTTAGCCAGTCCTTCAGTAATTCATAGTATTGGTTTGATCGCCTATAGTATTTTTGCCAAATGATATTGTTCACTTGATTTGTCCAAGCGCCAAACAGAATATGGTTACTTGTTTGAATTGATAGTGATCGTAGCATGTCAGTCAAAATGCCTACGCCTTTTGGTGGAAACAGATATTCAAATTCATCCAAAATGCATGAAGGTAGATCATTTAAAAAATCTTGGCTGATTGTAGAAAAAGTCTTATTCTTACAAGCCTTATTTGAGCATCGACATCGGAAAAAAAAGACCCAATGGATATCCCCATTTGCAATTGCGGGGCGCCAACTTCCCTGATGTTTTGTGTTGATTGAATCCGATTGGCAACTTGGGCACTTGTATTTGTAGTGCAGGCCCTTGAACTGTGCATCTGGTATCCATACTCGAACCACAACATCTTTGTAGAAGTTGCTTGGATTGGGAGATTTCCCCAGACCGGATGCCAGCGGTGATTTACTTGGATGGATGAACTTTTGTTGTTGACAGTTTTCGTCGTCAATAATTTTGCCTTGTACTTCCATTAAGTAGTTGTACAAAGGCGTCCCTTGGCTTGGCGTGTACGACTGGCGATACCTTGTTGATGAAGCTGATGATTTGTCATCATCACTTGATGCACCAATTCCGTAGTCCCCAATTCCATTTGCAGACCTGTCATCATCATCCTCGTCATATTTCACTTCCCAAGCATTCCCACTTGTAAAATCAACAGTGCCTTGGTTTGGGACAAATTTTCCTTTTGGCATTGACGGGTGGTCAAGGACCTCTGCCATCAGTTCTTTTGAAATCTTGAAAATCGCTTCCTCCATAGGGTGTGGTGACTTCGCAGAGGATGGATCATTTTGATGTCGCCGTGAGAGGAAGTACTCATGGCGTCTCTTAGCTTTCTCCTCCTTTGCAGTTTGGAATTTCTTTGACTTCCGGTCGCCTCCAGCCTTATGGTTGCTTTTTTTGTTCTTACTTCCTTTCGGACGGCCCATGTTGATGTTGACGCAAATGAAAAGACGAAGACGCAAATGAAAAGACGAAACTTTCAAAATAAAACTGTTGGTCGTTATGTCCGTTATTTGTCGTTACGACCATTTCAAATATATTTTTGATCCGGAAAGTGAGATTTGTAAGCGACACCTTGGTTGTGTAGACGTGCGTAGAATCTGTACTGTCGCTCACAAAAAAAATCCGCACATATTTATCATACCTGCCGAAAAATGAGCGAATGCATGTGATTGGAAGTCGAACGATGACGCGACGGGGACTGGAATGATGACAAAAGAATGATCGAATGAGTGAATCATCGAATATAAGTGGGTGATATAAGACACTATAATTGGAGGATGGGAACAAGACTTAGGATAGATGAGAACCTCGTGGTGGTGATGTCATGAGAGTTGTGCCAAATCAATGAATTACAAGTGGTTCAGATAAGGGGTTTGTATATGTATATATTGTAAAAAACTTTTTACTAACAGCAAAGAGATCTTCGTGCTTTTGTAATTTCCTCTTTTTGATTTCTCTACTTCCAGGTGATGATGTCGGTAGTCGTAATGTCAAGAACACACATGATCGCCTGCCAATGGGACAGCGTGTGATTGAAGTCATCTCTTTTCAGGCAATAAAATCGATCGTTGTTTCTTGTATGTTTTTTTCTTCCCTAAGTGTTTTGGCGGGAAGAAGGAACACGAGTCACTCGACCGGCTGAAGGATCGTAGATTTTACGGGGAGTTTTTCATCCGATTAGAATCCCCGTGTGACATGAAAAAAGCTTGGCACGTGTATGTGCGTACGATCTTTGTTGGGTGCGCTTCTATTGCGGACAGGAACTCTCTATCTACTTCCATATTCTCTTACGAAGCACCATAATCTCTGGATATCCATCACTGAACCATGCATTTCATTCATCTCACCATTGTTCTCATGGCTCTCTTGGCCTCCCCTGTGGTGGCCAAGGACAAGACAAAAAAGAAGCACAAGGAGCCAGTGAGAGTTGCGCTGTTGATGCCTGAAGATCTTCGCAATGTTGTGACTATCGAAACCAGTCACAATGCCGGCTCAGAAGATCATGGCGATGACACCAGACTTGGTCACTATGGCCATCCGCCTGATGACTGCGAAAAGGACGAGCGCGCAGTTCAAATCAACGGTAAGTTTGTTGGTGCTCTCACTGCACCGGAATTCTCAACGCAGGCGAATAAACTATGATGCAACCTGTTTTCAATCACGTATCTCTTATCCAGCGGCTTTTACCTATCTCTTCTTATCTTTCCCCGTTAGGAATCCCTGGTGCGGTAAGTCCTTCATGTTTTGTTTCGGTGATGACAACACCATTCGTATCGTGGTCTCTTGTTGTGATGTTTCGTGTTCCGATTTTTTTACTCAAGTGATCAAATTCTTCTCCTTAATTTTGCAGATTTGCACTGCCAAGTGCACCGACTTTTTGCCTTGTCCTAAGGATGTTCCTAAAGGAGTCACTGGTGCGTATCCTTTGTTCACTTGCAGTCTTAATAATCGCCAAACGGGAACTGTCTGACTAAAACGATACCGCATTCTTCCTTTTTGTTGATGTTCTGTTGTTTCAAATCTTTTGCGCTGGAATTGTCATGCAGCCGAACCCACTTGTGCTCTACAGGACTCGGCTGGTAACCACTACTGTGTCTTGCTTTGCAAGCCCGGCAAAAACAAAGACGCAAACCTTCGCCGTGCCGGAGACGGCGATGCTGGAGAGTGTGGAGATGCCACTTGTCAACCTGCCCAAGGACTTGGTATCTGTACCTACGATTCCTAATTTTCCAACAGTTTCGAGATGATATGACGGAAATTTTGGCATATTCGGTTGTAAGATTGAATGCGCAATCAACTATCAAGTTGACACTGATGAGAGACTCTGGTGATTTGGACCCTGCTGGTTGCTGTAGTTGTTGGCTTGTCCTCTTGATTTATTCCTTTTCTTAATTAATAATGAGTGGGTCCAGTATATGATATTTTTTGATCCGATCGCCAAGGATTGCATGAATGATGTATCGTCAATGCATCCCTCTTCCTTCTGCTGTGGTACCAGGTATAGTACCTACGAGTACAGCAGTACCTATACTATTATTTTCTGTCTTCCAAGCAATTGACCCGTTCGATTTGTCTTCCAAGCATTGGACCCGTTCGATTTGTCTTCCAAGTCGAAGTAGTCATGATGACTCATTTCGAATTTTTTTGCACGCTTCCACTCAATTCAAAACTTGATTTCTTGTCATAAGCGTCCTGCACCTTCGTTTTTCCATTGGGTGACTGCTGGCACTACTTGTTTTCATGCTCTAGGCTACTGTAGGCTTCTCATTATATCAGTATGCTTCGGAGAATACGGGGGAATGGTGGTCTGTACAAAGACCTTTTGAACAAGGAACCTCATGTCGTCAGCATTACTTTCTGGAGAGAAGAGTTCCCTTTTCAAAAGGACGACACAGAAGATGTTCATGAGCCTACCAAACTTGGAATCATGATCGATAAGGCTCCTGCGGAAGAGGATGGAGACAGAACTGGAGGGGATTTTCAGATTACCGATATTCAGGACAATCCAGATTCGTTATTGTATGGAATGCCAATTGAAGTTGGTGACAGGCTAGTGGCAGTCAACTCGCAGCCATGTTATGGCTTGGACATTGAAATGTTGAAGCAGATGATTGCTACGCAAACAGGAATCGTCACACTGACGTTGCGAAAGACAAGAATGGCACCTTTTCAAGACGAGCTGAGACTTGCGGTATTCATTGATTCTCAGAAACATACTTGCATACCAATGGACATTTGCCTCTTCAAGGAAGAAGAGAAGCTTTCAATTTTTGCTCTCTACGATCACTTTGACATGGATATCAAATCCAACGCAAACAAGAACAAGAATGATTGGCTTGAGAAATCATGTCTTGCAGAAGGCCAAGTACTTCTTTCAGTAAATGATACGCCAACGTTTCAATTGGAGGAAGACGACGCCCATTCCATCATGAACGAAACGCTGAACACTGACGAAGTCCTTGCCATAAAGACATACTTTCCTTCACGGGCATCAGCAAATGAAGCTCCCGATATGGCTGATCGCGTTACGTCCTACATTGTTCAGCTGGAGCATCGCATGACCAGGTCTCTTGCACAAGCTCGAAATGAAAACGACGACTTGAACTTTTCAGCATTACCCTATCCAGTATTTTCGTCTGCCGCTCAGTTGGATAAGACTTTGCGCGGGGCGTATAATCGATGCATCACTATCTCGACCGGAAAGCCACTCTTCCGACTTTACCTTGTCATGGAAGACGTATGGGCCAAATATGCCAAAGTTCTCATCCGTAGATTCCCAAAAGATAGTCGATTCTCCAAGGTTTGGAGAAAACGACTTGGAAATGAGAAAGCTAAGTATGCAAAGCACGAGAATATGGAAGGCTGCCCATCAGCCACCCAACTGGATGTCAATGGTGCGGAAAAGAATGAAGTTAATGACGAAACCGCAACGGAAGCCATGGCAAACGTTGATTCCGAGGACGAAGATGACTTAAACAGCGTCCCTACATTTGAAAGCGTGGAAACCGACTCTGAAGACAAGAACGACAATGCAGCTAACAAAGAGACTGCCTCATCGGGACGAGGATGGTTCTTTTCCCGGCGACGGCAACAGTCCGAACATAATCCGGAGAAGAATATCGATCAAAATAAGGCTGGAAGCTCCAGCGACGATGAAGGAGAACAGGAAAAGACCGAACCAGACATTATCCAGAAGCAAAATCTGGCGCCCAATCAATCAAGATCTTGGTTCTTCTCAAGTAAGAACGCTGCAGATGAATCAAAATCATTGGATGGTGAGGACATTGCCACAGATTCGAACCAGAGAAGTCGGTCAGGGCAACTTGATTCCAAGAGATGTGAACCAAAGGACAAAGAAATCAACATCAGAGCGGAAATATGCCATGTGATCTGCACAGGAAGCTACTGCTTAGATCTATTGACAGAAAGAGAAATTGCATTGAACGAAACTATTGAAGAAGGCTTCAAGGTAGACTTTGGGGAGACGAAAAAGGTATTCCAGGAAGAGGTTATCCAAAAGGGAATCCTGCAGCTTGTAGATTCCGTCAATTTCCAATCGGAACCAATATTTGCTAGTATGGCGCGGATTAGATGGCACAGATGTGACGAAGTAGGGGATACCAGTCCGTATGCAATGGAAGTAGTGGATTTGCTGAAAAAACGAATCACTTCATTGATTGTGCAGCTACCGCCACAGTATCACCACAAGTTCAAGTACGATCTAATTGAAGTAATTTGTCAAGCGTTCTACAATTCGCTGGCGAGGATCAACCGCATCAGTCCCGTTGGGACGCAGCAACTTCTTCTGGATGTATGCACATTGAAACTGGAGTTTGTTGCACTTTTGAAAATATCCGAGCCATCGAAGGACGTCGAAGTTGACAGTGACTTTGCTGATGCACGAATGACAGACCCACAAAGATTTGTCAACGAACTACTGAAAAGACCAGAGGCTCTCTTGAAGCTCGCGGGTACAAATGTTGGTGTGGACGAGCTGCTGGGGACGCTTAATGGCAACCCAGCTGCTGGGGGTGAGAAAGGGGAGAAACCATCACCGAATGGAGATTCTGTCGAAGCCGAGTCAGGATCAAATATTGCCAAGACCAATCTCGGGGAGAGCGAGGATGGCAATGCTAACGAAGATGACGAAACAACTATTGTATTCGATCATTTGGAGGATTTGGACACCACATTGGAAACTCCAGCCTTCCCAGCAAGTTTCGACCTGGACGACGAAGAACCCGACGTCGAATAGATAAACTATAGTAGCCGAAGTTATCTACGGTTCTTCTTGCCTGTTGTCTAGGTGGGGCAGATCTTGGATGGGTACCGTTAAATCCAATATCAAAAGTGAAAGGCAGCTGTTTTTATAAAACAGTTTAATCTACGGGGCATTTCTCTGAGAGGGGTCTTTTTGGAGCGACGGCGACTGATCAAAAGGATCGGTCTCGGCCTTGTGCTTCTTGGCAGCTGTTCCCCACCATTCCAGTTGACTAAAACACCGATCAGTATAATTCTGCCATTTCTCTGTATTTTCGTATGGGTTGCCATCCTCGTCAAAGATTTCTTGAGCACTCGGCAAATGAATCATTGCGGACACAGGTAAGCATCCAAGCTCACTCAGAATGGGTCGTAAAGCAATTGCAGCCCTCGTCCCTCCCCACTGCCCGGCAGAATACGACACAATCGCTGATGGCTTGAAGGAAAATGTAGAAGATCCAAAGTGATTCAAAACGTTCAACAATCCAGGAGAGGGAGCGTGGTTATACTCCGGTGTCACACATACGTAGGCATCCGCATCTTCAAGGATCTTTTGTACATCTTTCAGATGAGCTGGGACTTGACTCGACGCGTAGGCAAATTGTGGTTTGTCCAGCAACTCAAAACTATTTGGATCAACTACAGTGTAAGTATTGCCGCGTGCTTCCAAGGACTTGGTAATGAAAGAAGCGACTCGAGGTCCAAGGATTGGTCGTGGAGGTCCTTGCGTTCTTGTTGTCCCTGTTATCACTGCAATGTTCAGCGCATTTACCCGTGTCGTTGTGAAGGAACGATGACAGCACATCAAAAAGTAGGCCAAGCTTCTGGGACTCGCTCGTATTCTTGCTTGTAACTTTCTACTCCCAAACAACATCAGTTTGATTGCCGCTATTGTACGTTACTTTGGATTCTAGTGGCACGCAATAACGAGGCGATGCAATATAATGCTAATGATATTGCATATGATGAGGATTATACCGTGTGATAATATGCATTGCATGGATTGAGCTAGCTGCGAACTGAAAAGACATACGACCCGTTCGACTAGGCAAATTTATAATTATTATGGTCATGTCAAAGCAATCTAATACTATCACATCAAAAAGCTTAGTCACAAACTCGTGTAGCTTTGGTGGACGACGCCGTGCTTGGAAGCCATTGTCGGTTTTGGCAAACTCGTCCAAGGTTCTGAGTTGTAGACCTGCAGACCACACTATGAATGTAGAAAAAGGCTGACTCTCTCTTGGTGGACTCTATTTCGTCATCATGAAGAGGAGACTATACGAGTAAGAATTCCACCCCTTCCTTGATGAGATTGGCTGGTGGCGAAACTATCCTTCGATTCATTCTGGATGGAACCTGGAACAGCAGCTCAAAGATGATGCCGACATCAGACTTATAAATGGTGGTAATGTTGAATGTGGCCATCCACAAGATTGAAAGTTTGATTTTCATATCCCGGTACGCAGTTTTCGCGATCTTCCTGGCAGCGAAATCCTAGTTGTATAGAATTGACTTGATTCTTTTCTCAAGGTCGTGCGGATTCGGTGCGGCTGCTTCTTGCACCGTGCAAATATTGACTGGGACGGTCCGGTCTTTTATCTCCTTCCTCCTCGAAACACTCGCTGTAGAAAGGTTTGGTGAATAGTCATGCCGCACTTGTGTTTGTTGTTACTGTTGTTGTTGCTTGTCTTTCGGTAGGAGTATACCCCACGTTGGTTCTCGTTCTCTTCAGTCATTGGTTCGGCCTTTTGATCTCAATGATTAGGGGAAGCTCACAAGCCCATCTATGTCTCCCGCTTCTTGCCGATCAACAGAATCCAAAGCTGCATGAAGAATTGACATACGTTTGAAATACTGCATTGCCTATCAACAAAATCCAAAGCTGCATACAGTACGTTTGAAATACTGCACCTGCGACGGCATGATGCTTTTTGGATCCGCTGTCATTGGACACTTTTCGCTTGAATAAGATTGACGACAGTCACTCGGACAGTTCCGTAAGCTTGGAATCATTTATCAATCGATGCAAACAAGTCACGAGTCCAATAAATCGATATGGTACCCTTTTATATATGTGGAGAAACAGCGACTACCTCTAGAACTGTTCTTTAGCCACCACGTCAATGAGCATACCGGTAGGTGACAAAATGAGAAAACGACAAAACCTGCTTCACACATTATTCGAAACTACTCACAGACTCACAAATCCAGAAAAGCGATCATCAATCTTATTGCTCCCAAACACACAAAATCATCATGATGAAGCTAAATCTCCTCGTCTTTTGCATGGCAGCAACGACTGTCACGTCGACTCATGCCGATATTCCCGATGCTGCTGTCATTGACAAGTACATGGAAACTCTTTCCATGGCAGGCATTGCCGGCACAAGCATTACTGACTCATCCAACGACGAGAGACTCCTCCGTGGTTCGGGAGCCAAGGAACAAGGTAAATGTCCTCCTGGACTCTCCACAGATCTTATCCAGTTTCCGCAGTGGAAGGATGAAGTAGGGTAAGCTAGTATCTTGGTGAATCTTGTTGTTTTCGAATCTTGCGATCGTTGCTGATTCTTGTTTCTCTGGTCTTTTTTTTACAAGGTATTGGATTGGGGAGTATACGCTATTGCAAGGCGATGGCAACTACACCGTCAGTGCTAGCTGGCCGTATCCTTACAAATCCTATACAGGCTTTATCACTGGCACTGTGGTCGGTAACGCCTATCGTCAACGCAACGTCTTTTTGTATCCACCCTCGCAAGCATCGCCATGCGATTCGGTAGTTGGTGAAGGCAAGTGCGGCGAAAATGGAAACTCCTTAGTCTTTGCGGCCGATCAATCTGGATGCAGCCTTGATGGAGGTATTGCGGGCTCCTTTTTAATTGGCAACTTTCCCATTGATACCACCACGGAACTCGTTGGTGCGGACAATGCCTTGCTGTATCAAGTCTCGATTGCTGGCACTCTCACACAAAGTCAATTGACGACCATCACCAAGGGAACTGATGGCACGACTCGTCGTACCCGAACCGCACAATCCTTTGGATTTGGAACGGGATTGCCTGCTGGAACCTCTTACTATCGAGAAGTCAATGTCAGCAAGGAAGAGTTTTACGAACGATTGGAGCAAGTAATTGCCGAATATGGTATTTTGGAAGCGGATTTGTGTGTGCGAGATGGATTCACTCGGGCTCCCCGTCCTGACTATGTCCCTGGTATTGCTCAATGTAAGCAGCACTTGGAACAAAGCTTTGAGCTTTAAGCAGCAGTCTTGAAAAGAAAAATAGTCCTTCTTTTTCATGATTCTAAAAGTCGAGAAGGTCTGAAACGAGTAGTAATGCGAATGATATTATTTTCAGTGAAGGTCTCCACATACAAATGCTCTTTGACATATTTATCTTTCGGAGAAGGGCGAAGACGTGCTTGGCTGCCACCTGTAAACTACATTGAGTTGTAGGCCATGTTGTTTTATTGCAGAGAAGATATTCTCCTTTCTTGGGTGACTCTCCTCCTCCTTCATCAGGCTGCTTTCAACTTCTTTTTAAAAAAGTTACACCAGCACAGCTTCCTCATTGAAAAGCTGGTACAGTATCTCAAAGATGACGCCATCGTCAAACTTGTAAATAGTGATGATGTCGCCTTCCAAAATGTGGAGCTCGATTTTGAGATCTGTGACACACAATTTTAAAACTGTGCAGTTTTAAAACTGAGTGACGCAGTTTCAAAACTGAGATTATGGTCACAGCAATCTTAAAACTGGCACAAGCCAGCCACGCCCCAACCTTGGTTCCCACTATTTCTGCAGAGGTTGTTATCTAAAGCGGTTCTGATTCTGTACTGTGGTGGTGGAAGCTACCAGGTACGAAGACAAGCAACCCCTCCGTAGTTGTAGGTCCAGCCCAGCACTAAAAACGCAACCTCAGTTTTCATCTCTTGTGCTGCCGTAGCATGGACTCATCGTTTTCAGAGTCAATTCTTGCTTTCATATGAAGAGGAAGAAAGAGTTCTTTGAGATGTCCTTAAGTGGCCCATCTATAGTAGATGACGAGAATCCGCAGACTCACTCTTCATCGATGGAGAAGAAAAACGATCTCCAAAATGTCCACCAAAGAGCAAGTTGGATATTATGCAATAATTCATTTTTCACTAGGGAATCTGGAGATAGTTGTTCCTATTTTCGATTTCTAACAAGAGCATAGGTGGAAAACGAATCTCGATTTATATCGCGTAAAACTGCTTTAACCACCTCGATTTATATCGCGTAAAACTGCTTTACCCACGAGAACGACAGCCTGAAAATATGCAGCAAAACGGCTTTTACAGGGTATCCCAAACTAGTGTCTATTCTACCGCGCGCCTCATATGAGGCATATGCCTCATATGAGGCAACTTTTGACAGTCCTACCTTTCCTGATTGGTTCGGCATTGGAAATCAAGTTGACGACGTCTTGACGTTTTTTTGACAGTAATAAGGCTGCGAAGGCGTTCATCTATCCAATGGTGATCATGTCTCTCTCCATCCGTCTCTGGATGGCAAAAATGTAGCGCCTCGACCATTTTCTTGATGTCGTTGAATTTTTTGATGGATGCGTCCATACTGGGCTCCAATCTTGGAAGAGACCAGTATAGTGATGGTGGTTTGAGTGGTGGTCAGCACCATGAATCGAATGGATGAATGAATCATTGCAGTCAGTGCCGAGTGCTGGTGTCGTAAAAGAAGAAGGTGAGAGCACAGTTCAAAGTTCGAAATACGCGATTTGAAAATCATAAAACCGCCGAGGTGCGCGAGCATGCATAAGAATGACTAGCTGACTCAATCGACTTGTGGACGGAAATTCACAAATTTCAAATGGAACAGTAAGATTGTGAAGTTGAGAAGTAATGGTTTAAGGTATGATAATCCTAACAGGACTAGATCGAATGAATAGACTGACTTGATTGACGCTATTTATTATGCATCTGTAATCTATCTATGAGTCACTCTACCTCTTGCCTCTCTTCGGGTGATTTTCTTTTCGTCTAACAGCTTATTCTTCATATTTTTCAGCTTTGTTGCTGCTTTTGTTCCAGTCTTGCTGCAATTTCGGAACATTTCATTCCACTGATGCATCACCTCATCGCGGTCTTGTTGAGCAGTACAGCTATCGAGTGCTTCGTTCAATGCTTCGCAGATTTTCTTTTGGTCAAAGAATCTTTTCTTGTTCACATTCGTGAAGTCTGTGCGCCATTTGCTCCGAAAACGCTCCTCGCAAGCTTGAATACCACCGGGAATTGGGACATTTTCGAATCCTCCACGTCCATACCATTCATCGTATGCAGCTTGGATGTGCTCGTAATCTTCCTTCAGTTTGTGACTTTTAGCGTCTTCCAAGTCATCGTCTGGATCCCGCACCATCCTTGACTTGTCCATGGACAATACATATGGTTCGTCATGTCCTAGGCATACAATATACTGAGCGAAATCACTCTCACTCGTGCTGGAAAAATTGGCATAAGCGGTCGCTTTCATTTCAACAGTCATGTCATTGTAGCCTTGAGAATTGATCTTCCATGTCTTGGAACTGACATTGGCATCCTTGTCCATGTACAATCGGACAACCCGGTAGAGCTCTTCTTGGTAATAGGTTCGTCGTCCATCTGTATGGAATGGAACGACTGCTTCTCCGTTTTGCTGCTGCGACGCATACCGATCTACCAACGCCCGAAACATGTCAAATAGCAGAGTAGAAGATATGACATCAGCAGTACCAATCTCTCGAATCAAGACAAAGACGGCCAGATTCAAAAGCTTGCGTAGCTCTGTTGGATAGCGGAATTTCAATCCAGCATTCATGAAATATGTTTTGGTGATCTTGCGGACAGTACCATTTGCCTTTTGTTTTTCATGCAGAGCTCTCATTTTGTCAGCTTTCTCGTGCCGCTTGGTTTCATCCAAAAGAAGTTTCACTTGGTGTTTGCGACTGTCTCTCTGAGCGGTGATCTTTGGTTCTGGATGCGTTCGTACATATTCTCGGTGATAGTCCTCCCTCTTCTCGAGCTTTGCCAGTGTTGTCTTCCGCTTTGCTGACAGAGAATCTTCGTTCTCCCGCAGGAAGTTTCGAAGGCTGGTTGTATAGGCACTGGTTCGTCTGCAGTTGGCGCAGATAAATTGATTATTGAATCGAAAACCTGGATTGCCATTGCCGCAATAGAAAACGTATCGTTCCGGCTTGGATGGATCACTTTGCTTTCTCTCTTTGGTTGGATTGTATTGACAATGAAAGCATTGAAAGTTGGGATCCAGAGGAATTCGTTCCGGCCATCCATACACCTTGTGCAATATGTACTGGGTTAGGGGAAGTCCTAGATTGTGCCCAAAAGCCTGAAGAAAGGCAGCCGGGATTCCGTTTCCAATGTTCATGGCACAGTTGAGAACATCCTTTGCTGGACCAAGAAACCAATCTGGTGAGAAATACAATCGTCTTGCCTCCCACATGGACAACCGGGTGGTCTTGTCGGAGCTCACAAAGCCATCGAGCGTATTATAATCGTACTTCTTGTTGAATGGAGCATGCAACTTCATGGCATACGATAGAAGCATCCCAAATGTTTCATCCAAATGCTCTCGGGAAATGAGCCCACCTTTCCATTCATACCACATCAAGCGAATCTTGCAAGCGATGGCTTTCAATTTGATCAAGATGGAAACATTTTCGGCAAATATCAAAAAAAGAGAAGCCAAATCGATGACTGGGTTTCCACCCAAATGATCCTCGAAGTGTCCAAGACCTACATTGCAGCCAATGTCAATGCGAGTCTTTTTGAACATTCTATTTTCCGCATCCTCATCGTAAGCCTTTAGGCTATTTCGCGTATGACGTTCGATGACGACAGTGACGTCCTTTCCACCTTCCATCTTGCCAATATCGTTTAGTACTTGTGGAATCGTCTTCGCCGCAGCTTCTCCCAAGGCTTTTGGCTCTGGCTGCATGTAGGTTTCACTGCCTTCCTGGTCTCGAAATATCGCCCGAACGGCTTCGGCTGCTTCTTGCGATACTGGTGCGTCAACTTCCGGAATCCACCTTTTGAGTTCAGTTGCAACTGTTTCACAATGGACCATGGCTGGGCTTGTGGAAAGTGCATTGCGCGAGCCAACGATCTTGTCTTTGGTGAAGGCCTTGACATACATGTGCTGTTTGACAAATTCATCTTCTGGAAGGTCACGCATTCGGGCTTGGAGGTCCTCGTCTGTTTTGGCAGCCATTTGCAAACAGTATTGAATTGTAGGCCATCCATTGATCATGAAAAAACTCCGTAGCCGTTCGAAATACGTTACAGCTTCCGGGATGAAATATTCTGGGGGCGCAAATACCGTTCGAACCAAGCTGGATGGAACTTGGTACAATTGTTCAAAGATAACGCCCTTATCAACCTTGAATATGGTGATAACCAAGCCTTCGATGATGTGGAGCTTCAACAAGATATAGTCCCGCTTTTCTTGATCTGGATGGCATTGAAATCCTTTCAGTCTCGGCTTGAGTATTTGGATAAATTCGTCCGGAATCAATTCGTCTGCTTCTTGACAGGTACAAATCTTGACGGCAAGAGTTCCAGGTTTGATTTTGTCTCCTTGTTGAATCGTCACGCGCTGTAGAAAGGTTTGGTAATTCGTCATCCCGCACTTGTAGCCAGCAGGGTCTATTTTCTCATACAGGTACAGTAGGCACCCGATTGACTATCATTGTCTTTCGTGGTCAGTCATCCACATATCGCGCGCTTCTCTCAGCAAAAATGATGATGACAACAGATCGATTGCCCACATCATCATGTACGCATTCACCATTTAGGTGGGCATACCAGTATCTAGATCGAATAGGAAATACCACTATTTCGAATTGTCATGGAAAGACCATTGTTTGGAATCCTCCTCATGTTTGAAGCGTAACAACAATCGCCATCGTTCATCGTAAACACAGAATTATCATCATCATTGAAACTACGGAACCATGTTGGCCATGGGATGGTATGCTGGTCAACACAATGCATGAATGAATGAATGGATGAATCATTGATTTGCGTTGGTGTCGTGAATGTGATTGTGAAAATGAATAATACAGACGATATATTGAATATTGTGCACTGCAATCTTCTCTTTTTGTGATTGTACTGTACCTACAGTACTGTAGTGACCGGCGGAAACGTATATACCCCCATATACGGTAACGTCTGTACGTCCTCTCACTGCATAAACATACTTTATCGTGGGTAGAAGTCACTGGATATCGTTTGATGTTTCATCCCAAAGACAATAAAATAATGCAGTGTATTTCACTCCAAGAACGCTGATGAGAGGAGCCATACACGGGAGGCACCCAGCCAGCTCAGGGACGTACAGCCTCTGGAAGAATCACGATGCCTCAATCGATACCAGCTATTGTGCACGGTGACAGGACCTTGGGGCACATCCTCTTCGACTCCTTTTCGAGCTACATCAAGGCAAGAGGAAGAAGAAGTTCTTCCCAAAATAGGCGATGTTTCTGGCAAGGGCCTACATGGCACATCCTTCAACGCCCTGCCCTGGCAATGAGACGGCGATGAAAACTATCCTTCCAGTATGGTGAATGAGATGAGGCCCTCCATTGGTTGACATGTAGGATTCCAAAATACACCAAGACGGCTGTCGACCCGATACTTCTAGGTGAGAATACGCCGGCTAGAAGGGGGGAAATGGATATTTTGGTTATCGTCCTCGAGGTTGCTTCTATAGGAAGGGCCGACATGGATCATTAAGTACTGCTAGTTGCGTTTATAGTAAACGGTTTACAATCAATTAATATGCTACATTATAATATAGAGTCCTTCGGCTATGAAGCCATTCATTCTAGGAGCAACAAAACTCGAACAACGGTATGATTGCCGCTCCAGCACATCCCTGCTTATTGTCGTGACAGAAGCCGCTACTAGTATTCTGTCCTCAGTCCAATTCTGGATTTATGATCAGAAGCTTTCTTTCACATCTCTTCTGGGTATCTCTGCTGGGTCCAATGGGTCATGGTAAAAGGCGAGATGTCAAACATTCATCGGTTTGACAACATACCCGCAATCTAGACCAACAGCAATAAGCGCCTGCTGCAGTGATCTTCTCAGCAGAAACGACAGACATCGAATCAAATTACCGATAACCCCATGGACCAGCCAGCGCAGAACAATGTTGATTGTTGATTCAGGTGATGAAGAAGTGGTGTCGAATCTGGAAGATACGCCATCCAGTATGTTCTTCACAAAAGAGCGCCAACATAATACTCCTTGCGGTCCTTTGTCCTCATTATGGCGCCAGATTACAATGAACTGGTTGCTCTGTAGTGCCCAGGATGCGGAGACCTCGTCCAGATACGTCCAGTGGCTGATTGATATGTGTGACAATAACACAAGAGGATTCATTCCAGCCATATCAAACGCCACCAAGAGTGGGCAAATGTGAATGTGCTGGAAGCAAAGGTGAATCGGTGGCACTTGAAGGATCGGGAGGGCACCGTTGCAAGTCTATTGGTATCCCCGTCCATGGAAGGTGTTCCTTTCAGAGAGGGTGGTTTGACGAAAGCGATGCCGATGTCACCAGTCCAACCCGTACAGGTTTTGCAGGAGCCATGTTTGAGAAAATTCCACACGAAGTCCGAGATGTTGCCATCTAAAACTTACATTTACATCAGCACCTTTGCTCTTCTTTCATTTCCTTTCATTTCTCTCGTTTGTTTTGTATCCATCGACGGTGATGTTTTCGTTTGTTGTGGGCAATCTGGTGTCTTTTGAGGAACGTGTATTTTCCAATATTCTCAACCAGGCCAGTATTCTGGTCTACGCGAAAACGGTACGATTTCTACGTGCCAAAATTGAGCCTGACTTGAAATCGCATCGTATATCAAGGGACCCGGAGAGGTATATACTTTTCCGCAAGCCTTTGTGGGAACAACATTTTTACATAGGAATCATATGGTGTTGGCCCACCAGGCCTTGCGGAAAAGTATATGATATCGATATACGTTTCGTGCGGAAATGCGCGAAAATGATATACTTTTCAGTAAGTCTGTACAGTATGTGTTTGAACGGCAAAGTTGTTTGATCCATTGGACTCACTCCACAAGGTGAGACGTACACGTACGTCGACACGTACGATGACAGACGCTAGGTTTCGTGTCCATTCAAAATGGCAACAAGTTTCCATAAAAAAAAACAATGGCATCTAGCACAATAGGGGCTGTGTAGCTCAGTTGGTAGAGCATGGGATTCCAGACCCCAAGGCCGCTGGTTCGAGTCCGGTCACGGTCACCTCTTTTTGGCATTCGAAGTTTGTTGACATACTGAATAGGATTGGAGTAGTATGTTATGATGCTTTTGCTCTTGGCGAATGGATGGTGCAGATGCACAAAATAAAAAACCCCACGAATTACGATTCATTCATGAGCGATTTCACTGGCGCTCATTTCGACATCTTTGCATGCTCCAATGAATTGCGTCTACTAGGACTACTATTTATGTGTATTTCAATAAAATACATGCAATGCCACAAGTAAAGACATGCTGCAGGTCAAGCTGTGTGGGATGATTCATTCATTTACATCTCAATTGATTTTCATGAAGTCAGATGCGACCTGTGTGGTACGTTTCTAGTCTCTTTCATGCCAATGTCCAATGGTATTTTATTGTTGCCATGATGATTTTTCATCATCAGATGTGGTTCAAACGCTCGAACGAGTCGATTCTTAAAGAATATTCGCAAGATTTCGAAAACAAAAATGAAAAAGCCAAAAGAGATAGGGCAGCAGCAACACATCATTCATTCTTCATAAAAAAGCCTATGATTAACGCTCCGCCAGATTACTGCAGCGATATCTTCTTTTTTCAATTGACGACAATCTCAGTTCACAATACCTACCTACGTTAAAAAAATGACGACAAGCCGGGTATTGTCGATTCAGTCTCACGTTGTCTCTGGATGTAAGAACCACACCGAACCACATCATTCGTCCATTCAGCGTTGGCAGTCAATTCAAATCAAGTCTCTCATTCCATTTTATTCCGTTCCGAATTTTATAATTGTGTACTTTTACTATCCCAATGAATGAATGCATGAATGCATGCATGCATCCAAACATCAACACCATCACCACAATAGATGTTGGAAACAAGGCAGCTGTATTTCCTCTACAACTCCTGGGTTTGGATGTAGACGTCATCAACTCTGTGCAATTTTCCAATCATACTGGATATTCCAAGGGGTTCAAAGGATCCGTCATGGATGGAGACGGCCTCGACACTCTTTTGACAGGGCTTGACGAGAATGGACTTTTGGAGGATATTCAATACGTACTGACCGGATACATTGGATCCGCTACCTTTCTTGCCGCCATTCGAAATGTCATTCTGAGAGTCAAAGCCAGGACACCCAATTTTCGGTACCTTTGCGACCCTGTGCTGGGGGATCACGGGAAATTCTACGTTCCTCCCGAGCTCGTGGACCTGATGAAATCCGATATCATTCCCCTGGCAGATATTGTGACTCCCAATCAGTTTGAAGTCGAACAATTGACCGGTGTAGTTATCCATTCTCTCACAGATGCCAAGAAAGCCTCGGTTGCCTTTCACGATTTGGGACCATCCATCGTTTTTCTCACGAGTCTTGAGTTCCCAACCGCAGAAACTTTGGGTACGCTGACAATATTTGCGTCACAACGAAAATATTCCAAAGACGACACATCCTCATATCATGACGAAGTCTATGCAATCGAGGTTCCAAAGCTACAAGGGGCCTTTACGGGGACCGGGGACTTGACCGCAGCGTAAGTGGTTTCTTGTATTGTAGATTTTGGCAATCGTTGGCAGCAACGTTTTAATCGTAGTGGCTGGAAGCAACACAATCACAAAGTGGCACTAACATACATGCTTTCTCTCCGTCTTCATCATCGTTCAGACTGATTCTTGGTCACCTGCACCAACATCCTGACAACTTGAAACTCGTCATGGAAAAGGTAATCAATACAATGCAAGCAGTGATACTGAAAACAAGCGAGATCACCAACGCATGCAAGGATCCCAAATCAGCAAAGGCACGAGAGCTACGTCTAATACAAAGCAAGAGCATCATTGAAAATCCATCTACAAAACACGAGGCCCGAAAAGTCGAGTAAGAGATACTCGGAATTCTCTATTTGCTACTATACTGTAATTGGTGAACACCTCTTGACTATTTGACCCCTCCTTATGGGGCCGATGATGCAGAAGAACGAGGACACTCTACACATTGTTACTGGCGGTCGGTTGGGTTTTCGGACTTTGAATATATCAATGTTGATCAGATCAATCGCCAAAATTTTGAAGGGGATTGATTCAGTGGCGCCAGAAGTCTACTCTAACTGTTACAGTACCGGATGGTGAAAAGCTACAGTAACACATTAGCATATTGTTTCCTTTTGCCTCTGACAACATCAGCTTTCTAGGTTTTTAGAGCTACAGTATTTCGGACAAACATGAACTCTCCACATCATGATCAATGCCTTTGCGACAACTCGAAAGGTGGCATCATCTTGAGTGTGCGATGGCATTCCTTTTCCCGTCCAGGTCTCGAAATCGGCACTGAATTTGCTTGGGACGATTCAATTTCTGTCGCAATTTCATCGGATTTGGCCGAGAAATGTTAAATGTGTTAGACTTTCGATTCCACCGCAACTTTCCTACTTAACGATCACATCTGACTCGGAACATTGCGACAAGTGCAACCGTCAAAAACAGGACCAGAGGGGCAGTATCCCACTTTTTCGACTGGGATAATTTTCCTCAAACACACATCGACACACAAACCAACGAAATGGCTGACGAAGAGTTCTTGCTAGACTGCGACAGCGTCTCCAACCTTTCCAGCTTGTCTGGCTTAACCTTTACTAATAATGATGCCTTCCATGGTACGAATTCAAGAATGTGGGACCTGCTTTCCGTGGCATCCGATTACGCATCCTTGGAAGAGATGAGCTTTGAAGTGGAGTATGTGGATGACCTTCTCATTTCCGACAACAAGCAAATCTGTTTTTTCGACCACATCTCGGGACCTAGAAGCGTTGTATCAGACGACGGATTCACCTTTGAGACTATTTCGACAGACGATGATAATGATGCTAATGAGGATTCGTATTTGGTATCTGCTGCTCATAACGACAGCACGTGCTTTGAAGTTCAAAGCGATTCGGAATCATCTGACGACGACGAAAATGATACCGACCTATTCTCGGTTCACTCCAAGCTAACCTCATTGGACCAAGAAGAGAAGGCAGCCATGAAGGCGGCGAAATCGCCTACTTCCGTTGCCAACTTTGGCGATGGCAGCAGAGCCATTTTCTCCGTCACTGCGAGCAGTGCACCAAAGGCCAACAGCGCCCCTGCGAATAATTGGCGCCTTCAACGTGCCAGAGAAAGAAGAGAACAAGCGCTGAAACGATGCAACGATGTGCTCAACAATGAAACCGCGGTCCCACACCACCACAGTCAGTTGACAACAAAACGCCAAGATCTTATCAACTTGGTATCTGCTATCGAAGCAATGGACGGCTCTGATATCCTTGCTACTGGTACATCACAATTAGCAAAGCAAGCCTCTGCTCCTGCCTCCAGTAGCACTTTAGCAGGAAGAAGACGCCGCTCGCTCGAAGAACTTCGTTCTCGTCAACGCGAGTCGTTGCAAGGACTGATCAGCGCCTTTCATGCCGTCTGTGATAATAAGAAGGCCCAAACAAACACCAGGCATTACAACCAGTACAACAACAAGAAGACAAGCTCAGCAGCACCAACCACTCAGCAGCCAATCTTCACCTGTGTGTAGATACGATCGATGGCCATACGCATCACACCAATAAGTGCAGAACAGACACCATACTTCGCAAATAGAATAAAATAGATAGAATACTGAAAGAGGAATCGCATGTTGAGTTTAAAATCGACTGAGGATTATTATTACTGTAGGATCTCACAGTAAGAAAAGTGCCAACATTGCGCGTAGCTCACGCGCACTTTGAATTTCTTTCGATTTCTGTCCTTGGAAAAACAAATGTCAAAATAAATAATTTTGCTTCCAACAACTGCAGTACCGTCTGCTTTGTGAATTTCCGACACAACAAGAACAAATATCATGGCATCTGAACAGAAAAAGGTTGTTGTGGGAATCGACATTGGTTCTGGGTCCACCAAGGTCGTCTTGGGTTCCAACTTTGGCTGTGAAATCGTGCGCAATGAAGTCGGAGGACACACCACTCCAACGGCCATCTCGTTTTCCAACAAGTTGCGACAAATCGGACAAACAGCCAACTTGAAGACCAAGAATGGGGTGATTCAGATCAATCGACTATTGGCAGGGGAAATGGAAGAGGCTGGCAAGGACAAGTTTCAAGAATTTTATCAGTTCTCCATGGACAACACGTCATCGGACGATAGTGGCGTGATGGTATCGAATTTGGACTACAATGGATCAGCGGAAACTTCCTTTGGTGCCTCTGCCCTCCTGGCAATGTTATTGGGCAAGATTCAATCCAATGTCCAAGCTACGCTGAAACGCATTGCTGGGGAAGCAACAGACAGCAGTAGTATCAATGTGGAGTACGCCATTTCCATTGGACCCAACATGACGGATGCATGCAAGGCAGAAATCATGGATGCAGTCTATGCCATTGGAATGGAACACGCGTATTTGGTGGAATCAAGTGAGGCCTATGCTTCTTGTTATCATCGCAAGTTTCCAGAGCACATTGTCGCTGGAAAGGACAATGCCGTTCTCATTGTAGACATGGGCAAGACTCAAACCTCAGTAGCAGTCGTCGGATCACCAGCTTCTACTTCCGAGGAAGAGACCGAAGAAGAGGCCAAAGAAGAAAAGACGGTAGATACTACGCCTATTAAGCCTGTCATCTTGAGTTCCAAGCGAAACAGAGCCTTGGGCGCAGGAATCTTTGACATTCGATTGTGGGAACATTTTCAATCTTCCTTTCCAGCTCTATCTAGCGTCAAAAAGGCTTCCCGCGCTGGACAACGCCTATTAGACGGAAGTCAAAAGCTCAAGCATTTGCTTTCCCAACTTGCTGACGCTGCCGTGACTGTCGAGAATGTGGGAGAAAACGACTCTGATTTGAAATTGACAGGGAGTCGTCAAACTCTTTCCGAACTTTGCCAGGAAGATGCTTCGGCTTTGACCGAATTGATCGCAGGAGCGCTAAAGGAGGCAAATGTCACCAAGCTCTTTGCCGTCGAAGTTGTCGGCGGGGGTTGCCGTATTCCATTTGTCAAGGATGTCATTGTGGAAGCTGTCAAGGACATGGGAATCACAACCTTGTCGTTCAGTTTCGACGATACCTCGGCTGCCTTGGGAGCCGCATTGGTGGGCGAAGATGATACCAACAATGCCAACTCGAAGCAAACAATCGCCGACGCATCTGACCAACAAACACAACTACGAACCGCTGAACAAACCATGGCCACCTTGGATCAAGATATGCAGATCCGTGCCGACACCATGAACAAGATCGAAGCGCACGTTTTGGAAATGAGGTCGGCCAAACACAGCAAACATGGTTCCCTACTGCCTTCGACAATGGATGCCTACTTGGACAACGTTGAGAACTGGATCTTTTCGGAAGAAGCCGACGACGCCTCCAAGGACGATGTTGTGGCCAAGTTGGAAGCCACCATCAAGGAGACCAGTGAAATGGCCAAGGATTATTTGGAAGCCTTGCAAAAAGACAAGGATGCCAAAGACCGCGAAATGGAAGCAGAAGCCAAAAAGGCCCAAGCAGAACGTGAGGGAGAGCCAGAAGGGGAAGAGGATGACCACGATAATCGCCGTCTTCCCAAGAAGAGACGCATGGAAATTGTCATGAAGAATAAGGCCGAAGCCAATGAGTTGTTTGGAGACGGAAACTACAAATTTGCCGCGGCCCGATACACCAAAGCTTTGTCGCACTGCGCCAAGTTTGTGGACTTGAGCCCTGATGACGTTGAAGAAGTAAATGCCGTCAAGTTGAGTTTGAACCTGAATTTGGCGTTGGCGTATACCAAGCTTCAGAATCCTGATCAAGCGTTGAGGGTGTGCAACGAAGCCATCGCCATTGATGAAAATAGTCCCAAAGCCCTCTACCGCCGAGCTTCCATATATTACGACAAGAAGAACTGGGATGCCGCCAATAAAGATGTCAAACTGGCCATCAAGGTTGCCCCAGAAGACAAGGCTATCAAGAAGCTGCAAGATAAAATTGAAGCTCAAATGAAGCGACAAAAGCTAAAGGAAAAGAAGATGGCTCAAAAGATGTTTGGCTAATAAGAGTTTATTAAAAAGCTCAAATTTTAAAAGTAAGGCTCGAATAGTGATGAATACCGAGTACTAGATTGTGACGCTATGTGCTCAAGGCGTGTGTATGTGTGTGAAATTAGTGCAATATCTTGGCTTTTAATGGTTTCGTCCAATGGCGGCGTGCTCTCTACTTTGTCTGGCACAACGTGACGAGACTGAACTTTGTTGTGTATGCGTGGTATGATCGCTCAGTTCCGTATAGCAATCTATTTGTTTGAATACAACAATACTCTCAATATCATCATCTCTTTTCCGATGAGGCGTCACCAACTCCAACTGCTGTTGATGACGTTGTGAAAAAGATTGCGGCATATGTCATTCGGTAAAATCTCGAAATAGCCAAAGTCGCCGTCACTTCACGAGCCGAAGAAGAGGTTCCAAAGTTACTCCTTTGCAAACTGGTTCTCATTGGAGATGCTTTTTGGGCGAGGGTCCAAGTCCGCATGCTTAGGATGATGATCTTAAGGTTGGAGGCAGAGAGGACCTGGTGTGTATCTTTTTATCGTGTCAAATCTTTTTATCGTGTGAAATCTTGTGGTGATGGAGGCAAATTCTGAACCACGCGTGCACAAAATGGTTCGCAAGATTCGCGCCGCCTCCACAAGACAAATACTATGGACGCAAGCTGGCGAGATGTGAGAATCCAACGAAGGTATCTTTTTTGAAATGGGAAGCGTGAGAACTATTAAAATTGGATGAAGAATAACGTTTGAATGCCGACAACTCCCAAAACTCTCACATCTTGCAAAACTGGTGCGAGCGAACTCAAAGAAAGCAAACTGTCACAATACACCAAAATCTCATTTCAAGCAACATCATGACCATTTCCATTGACAACACTCCATCCAACGTTGATACAACAGAGGCAACAAGCGTATCCGAAGCCACCCTCTCCGTTGAAAATGTTGGAAGATTCAAAAAAGCTAACAAGAAATTGATCACATGGACCTTTGTGGACACCATGAGTAACGAAAACAAAGAACCGCACACTGTGACCTTGGAATGGAACAAGCGCAGTGGCAAGATGGTTATCAACTTGGACGGTGCTCTAGTTTGCAGCTACAAACACAAAGGAAACGATATCATTTCTCACAAGTGGCAAACTTCGGATGGCATGCAGTTGGTCATTGTCGCTGCCCGAGTGACTCCAAATGGAGTCGCTGACAACTTTCAAAAGTACGGTTTGATTGTGAATGGTAAAGAGGTTCCTTTGGTGCAGCCTTCCGAAGCTGGATACGAGGGACAGGCAGTGGAAGCGTTTTCTTCTTCCAAAACATCTTCCATTCTACAAATGCTCTACCCAAATGGCTATGAAATTGATTCCAAAACAGAAGATCTCCTATTTGGAGAGGCTTCCGCATCGACCATGGAGACGGAGAGGATGCTGTTGGTGTAAAATGTACGACGATTGATGTTACTACGGGAAGGAGAATAGAATCAAATAGAAAGATATTACTATTATACAAATTTGTGCGTGCGACAAACTTTTAGAAAAAAACGTTGCAGGTCAAGTGGTGCGTCATGGATGCCTGCAAAAAATGTATGCCATCTCCCGTTGATGAATGTATTGTCTGGCTTCCAAGCATTCTTCATCCGACAACTTCTTTCAGTATACCTTGCGAGGACGACACGGGGAATTGTGCATCGTGAGAGCCTTGACGCGTCTGGGTAAGATAGCATCCGTTCCCTGGTCAACTTGTTCCAAATCCAGACTGTTTTCCATCGTTTCAAACGATGGAGATTCTCTTGAGCTGGGCCATTCTAGCCCGGGAAGACTTAGATCAGAGCACATGGAAGTGTGATCATCTCCTTCTTCCTCTACTGGTTTGGTAAGGCTAGAGTGTTTAACCTTTTTCGTCTTCTTGTTCTTCTTTTCCATGCGGATGTACATTCTTTGTGCTTCTTGTTCATCTTCCATGGCTAGGTCCAAAGCATAGACGGCACTGACTCTTGATACTTTAGCAGAGACAGCTGCCAACCGATCATAGTCATCGACTTCGTTTTCCCATTGCACGGCTTGCTCGTCCATCACAGCATCAATGCATCGCTGAATGCAAGACGTAATGATTTCTTCACCTTCCTCTGTGAAGATTTCCAGCCCTCGATGGAAGGAGTCCGGCATGGATGATTCACCAGACTCCCATCTAGCAGCTTGCTTTTGGCTTCGCGTAGCAATCTGTTTGAACTCGTGCTTGGTGTACCAGCACTTCAGGATCTCTTCATCAGTGTATTCGTCGAGAGTACTGATTTCCAATACGGTGCACTTGGGATGGAATTGGACTCTTCTCTCGTTTTTATTCATGTTTGATGTTTGTTTCTTTGTTTCTTTTAGTTTGTCTTTGTTTTCGAACTGAGTTTGTGTGGTGCCTTGCTCCGGATCTCGTTGCGTTGTCCGCTAGTCGGATTGTGAGGGTTGAGCTCTGCAGTTTTCAACACTGGCGAAACTTCTTCCACGTTTAGAAACGACAAAATTGATTTAAGTGTGGTATCCGGTGTGGCTTAGCGAACGACCAAGACTGTTGGGTGCCGGGCACCAGCGCAGAAAATTTTCGTCGCGTCACTTAATTCGAGTGCCGGCAACTAAACAAGGATCTATTCCTCTTCTTTTCGCTGTTTAAAAACATGAACGAAGCTGAGTACCGTGTAGCAAAACTGAGTACCATGTAGCAACGCGACCGAGCGAATGAATCCGCGAACGAATGTTTTCGTCGTCAACCCAAACCATCCTCTGTCAAAACAGCCGGGTGAAAAAGTCTCAGGCAGGTCGACTCGACTCCTCCGATACTAAAATTCCCAATGACGCAATACGCACGCCAGACGGACATCGTCATCGATTCAAATTGAAAATCTCGAAGCAGCAGCGAAAGGGAGAAGCGGGGAATGGTTCAAGTTTCATTGAAAACGATAATCGCAAAGAATAAAACAATAATAGAAGCGAAGCATTGCTGGATATAGAGACACAGAGTGAATTCTACTATATCTTGACATTCATTCATTTCACATTGACTAACTACAGTACTATCGTCGTGATATTCTGTCATCAAAACAATTGACTGACACCATGACCTTGCGAAAACAGCAAGAAACATGGGAGGTCCGGTTGAAAGAACTCAAGGCCTACAAAGTTGCCAATGGGCATTGCAATGTTCCTCTTCACTACGAAGAAAACAAGCAACTTGGTAGATGGGTCGACAAACAACGCACCTATTATCGTCAAATGAAAGAAGGAAAGAAATCCTCCATGACGGCGGAGCGTATTGAGAAGCTGGAAGGCCTGAACTTTCGGTGGAAGATTCGTGATTCAGACCACGTTCCTTGGGAGGAGCGAATGAAGCAACTCAAGGCCTACCGAGACTTGCACGGTGACTGCAACGTTCCCTACCACCATCCAGAGAACAAAGCTCTTGGAAAGTGGGTGAGCCGGCAACGAGAGTTCTTCAAGTTTCGTCAAGAAGGGCTCCGTTCCTCATTGACAGACGAACGAGTGAACGAACTCGCCGAAGTTGGTTTTACTTGGAAGGTCCGAGATCAAACAGACTATGTTCCTTGGGAGACACGCATAAGGGAACTTAAGGAATACAAGAAGAAGCACGGTGACGTTGTCGTCCCCAAAGACTACGAGGCCAACAAGAAGCTTGGACGTTGGGTCGATCACCAACTGTCCTTTTACAGCATGCAACTGGGTGGCCTTCCAACCCCATTGACTGCCGAGCGCACCAAGGAACTAGAAGCTCTAGGCTTTTCTGAAGAGATGCTCCAAGATACCGAACATTCTCCAAGCAGTGGGCATTCTAGCGTTCTCGATGCCAACTGGAAGAAGCGATTGGACGAACTGAAACAGTACCGAGACGAGCACGGGGATTGCTCCGTCCCCAAGCGCTACAAGGCCAACACTGCTTTGGGATATTGGGTCAATACTCAAAGAAAGCACTACAAATTGCTGAAAGAAGGAAAAAAGTCGACAATGACTAATGCCCGTATTCAAGAACTGGAAAAGCTGGGCTTTGCTTGGAATCAGAACGAAGCCATTTGGAACAAGAGGATACAAGAACTCAAGGACTACAGCAAGGAACACGGACATTGCAATGTTCCTCGCAATTATTCTCAAAATATTGAATTGGCCAAGTGGATCGATAGTCAACGCAAGCAATACAGCATGAAGCGAGATGGCAAAAAGGCATCCATCACGGATGCTCGCGTTGCGGAATTGGAAGGAATGGGCTTGACTTGGAAGCCCCGCAAGGGGGCTCCTCTCGTTCCTGTGGTTGGGGCGGTGGAAGCAGCAGCTCCACCACCAAAGGCAGCATCGGTGCCAGCAGTAGCAGCTCCTCCTGCCGTCAAGCCAGCACCGGACCCGGTACCAGTTCCTCCAGCCGCCACCAAACCAGCACCAACAGTAGCTCCTCCAGCCAAACCAGAAGCAGAAGCACCAGCACCATCAGCAAAGGACGGTCCTGCTTCGGTTGAAATATAGTTGTGGAGGTGCAGTCTCCATTGGAACAAGAAATTTTAAGTACTTTAGTACAAGATAAAATAGTAGATAGTTACATATAAAATATGAAAATGCTTTGAGTTTTTTCTTGATTGTGTACCGGTAGTCGAACCATTCAATCGTTTCACTTCGCGCCAAGATTGAAACTTTGGTAGAAACGGTAATTTCTACGTGAAGGCCGCGCCATATTTTGGGGCCGCACCGAAATGGAAACATGGCGGTATTTCACATTACCAAACGAGCAATATTGGAGTCCATCGGTTCAATGTCTCTTCAGAAGCGTTATCAACAAAATATTCGGAACCGAAGGCCAACCCCTCAACAATGCAAACCAAGAAAAAATCACATCACCAACGAATACCCTTCACCAGCCTTTTTTGGTGTCGACGAGGACTAGCTTTCGTTTGGATCAATCCATCACGAGAAAGGGCATCATCATCGCCACTCCTTTGCACCATACAGCCAGCAAAATAGCTTTGTAAAACGACAGCCTGCTCATCAACACAAAGACAATCCACAAACCAGGAAATCGTCGAAACCAACATTGCTGTATGTTTTCCCCTCGCATTCAAATTGGGGTTTCGGGAACCCCAACCTCGTCGGCAGCACCAACACCGTATCAGAGTGAAACTAATGACGAAAGTAGTGAAGAAGAATTCGCGAGCAGTGATGAAGAGGAAGCAGACCTTGATTCAAAGGTTCAAAACAATGGTGTGTCCTCGACTTGCCTCAAGAACATTCAGGATCATGAATCGATGGAATTTCCAATCAATGGAGAATGTGAGTATAATTGTCAATTACTATTGTAACAGCTGTGAATTCCGTTCTTGTGATACGACCATTCTCAATGTTGCCTTTCATGTTTTTTGTTTCCGTATTATTCACTTCGCACAGGCACCTCTCTTTCGCTTTCGTCCAGCGGCAACTTTTTATGGGCCGGATTTTCCGATGGAACCTTGAGGGTCTTTGACTTGACGGGCAACTTTGGACTCGAAACGGACGCTGCGGTGGCCTCTCGCCAAAAGTCTAGCCTTCTGGTAGCCTCCAAGTGGTGTCAGACCTACGGAGCCGTGGCCTGTCAAATTCATGCCCGAGGAGTCCACACGGATCTCATCACGCAAGTGGGAGTCTGCGACGATTACGTCTTTTGTGGAGTCTCGCGAGGAGCCATGGAATTGTATGCTGTGGACTTTCGGGATCTGGAAGCCAGTGCGAAAGGCCGTGTCACCAAGAAGGAAAATATTTTGGATTACCTTCATGTGCACGAAAAGGCAGACGCCAAGTTGAAGGGATTTGGGGCCTGTACCAGACTCAAGAATGCGGCAAGGCCAACTTATTTGCTATTGACTGGAAAGGGAATCAAGAACATTCATATTTGGAGCTTTCAACCACCTTTGACCACACAAGAAGAGGAAGAACCCATTTGGAGCCAGCTGTACGATACTCAGACCAATGGAAATACTATTAATCTCCTAGGCTTCTATCGACCTCCCGCACAAAACAAGCTATTGGGAGTGTCCCAGTCGGATTCTCAAAAGTTGCGACTGTGGGACTTGTCGTCCGAAGAAGGCAACCCAGATGAAACCAAGGAACGTGCCAAGCGTCCACCCTACGTCGATGTGGCCAATTCCAAAGCTGCCTTGGGTCTAGCGGCTGGTGGATTTTGCGTCTGTGGAGGACCCACCATGTACAATCAACTGTCAATCGTCAGTTTGGACCAACCCAAGAATGCCTACAATCACACCGAATTGGCACTTCCTGCTGGAGACGGCGTTGCCGACGATGCTGGTGGTTCCCGAAGATCTTCCTCGCGCCGCCAACGCCGCGGAGACTTGAAGCAAGTGGCCAATGTGGCCAGTCCACCCGAAGGCGATGCCAATGCTGGACACGTCTTGTTGGAACTGGACGACGGAACCATTGTACAATACACCATGTCCAATACCATGGCATCCGACGGCAAGTTGCAAATCTTGCAGTCACCCACCGTCCCGGCCTTGCCCGACGACTACTGGAAGCGCACCATTTGTCTGGCTTCTTCCAGGCATCATAAGGGAGCATTGATGGTGGCCATGTCCTTGTACAATCCGAATACTCAACGAGGAAAGTTGGTCTTGCGCAAGTTGCCGGGTACCGAGCAAGACACGGCATCCTCCAAGGAACTGGCTGCCGCATCCTCCAAAACCGTGCTTCAAACTCCTCCTCCGAGGCACTCCACAGTTTCACAACCAAAGCCACCTGTCAATGCTGCCAGCAAGGCCTCGCCCGAAACAGATCTTGCGGCCATCAAAACGCTATGCATGGCTCCTCCGGCTACCAAAAAGTCCAAGTCGAGCAAGAGTGATGCCGAACGAATCAAATCCAAGAAGGAAAGGAAGAAGAAACGAAAGCAGGAAAAGCTAGAAAGAGAACTACTACAGAATCGGCGGTCCGATTCTGAGCTCTGCGTGGTGGAATCATTCAAGAAGCTAAAAATGGCGGAATCCAAACGATCTCTGAACTTGGAAGCGGATACATTGTGGAAACCAAAAGACAAGATCAAAAAGAAAAAGCAGGTGGTTCCAGAAATGATGACTCCAGCACGGGAATCCTCCAAGGATGTCTCAAATTCTTACTCGAGTGCCGAACGGATACTCGTAAAGAAAGTCAAGGTGATTCCATTGTCTGGAGAAAAGAAGGTAAAAAAGACTGTATCGGCTGGTTCTTCTCCGACCAACAGTGTTAGCATTTCCTCTCCTCCAACAGAGTCGGACAACTCGAAGAATGGTGATGACTTCTTTGAGACTCCCGCCAAGAAGAATCCAAATTCACTATCATCATCCACAGCGACTGATTCCAACAGCGCGGATACCAAGGCAGCTTCCCTAACAACACAAGTGTCACCAGATTCTTCCGTGATCCAAATCAAGCCAGCCAAGACCAAGACAACCGGAGAAATGGATCGGTTTGTGGTCTCACAGAAGCAATTGAAAATGCCGCAACCGCCCAAGAAGGAGCGATCCAAGAACAAACCACCCAAACTGACCAAGGAGCAAAAGGATAGACAAGAGCAACTCAAAGTTACATCAGTTCCACGAAAGTCAAGGCCCAACGACGAGACTATTGCAGAAGAGGTTGAGAAGGAGCCTGTTGATGAGACTAACACTCCTGATGGAGCGGAGATAATGCTGGAAGAGGTCCATGAAGAAGAAGTGTCTCCAGAAACTACTACTAAATCAACATCCAAGAAAAAGCGCCCACGATTTGTTCCAACGGTCAGCACCGATGATGTGGAAAGCAGAAAGCGCAAGGCTGCTCCTGAACCGGAACCAAAGACCCCGCCGTCCAAGAAGAAATTTTCGGCCGAGGACTCGCCACCAACGCGCGAAGACATGCATGCCGTCCGGGTAAAGGCCGAGTACAAGCGTATTCAGGACCTGATTGCCCATCTGCCCGCTTTTGTCCCAGTTCTTCTTCGCCAAGAAGAAGCACCCAAGACACCGGCCAAGAGCATCACGGAGAACCAAGAAAGACAAAGATCAAAGTTGGAATCCAAACATCGTGCGGCTCATGAAATGATCCAGAGACGAATGCTCCGTGCAGCCGAGTCGATAATACGAAATGCTGTCGATTTCCATCTTACCGTGGAGCAAGCCCGAAACGAATTGAAAGGAACAGTTCAGTCGTATCAAGAAGTGGTCCACGAGACGCTTCAACGGCACAAGTTGGAATCTCAAACTTTGGTGGCACAACAAAAGCGAGCCCGTGGTGGGCTAGACGTCCCCTGTGTCCAGGTTCACTTTCCTTTCCAATCCACATTTTCGGATCTAGAAGATGCTCGCCGAGCCATTGAAGCTCCCCGCCGACTGCCTGGTCGACCCCGAACTGCTTAAAAATCTATAAGGAACAAGTTACAAATGTTTGTCTGATGAGGTCATTGGGTTATGACTAGCCTACGATGCGTCACTCGAAACTAGAGTGCTTGGACCAACCATATGCATGCATGAAGAGTAGGGTTTTCGAAACGTGGGCCATTTTCGGACGACGGTCAGAATATATACTGAACGTGTGACGAACGCCTCCATCACCAAGTTCTCGATCACAAAAAAAGGCGATAAACACATCATCACACATCATTCATTCCATCCAAGAAAGTTTGAAAGTTTCAGCAACTCTTGGCTTTGCTTTCTTCATTTCCTACAAGCAGATCTCTTCTTCGGCTCATCTTCGAGTATAGATCAATCGCCTCACTTGCCAAGAGAACAACGAATGATTCAGCTTGCCGCCACTTCCATCGCCTTTCTGAAAACGAGTGCCATACCAAAGACGCCGCTGATAACAGCTTCCTCTACAGCCTTGAACCAAATAACACCTGGTGGCGATAACAGCGACGAGAGGAACTCTTCACCACTAGATAAAATCCTCAACATGAATCCAAAAGCAAAATCTTGTGTCTCCATGGCCGCCGCCATGGCATTGCATTTTGGCGGTTACGAATTTGCCAGAAGTGGTGCATTGGCTCTGTTTACGTCTTCGGAGACTGGCTTCTCTCATCCTTCTGCATACCCATTAGCCATGGGACTTGTCACACCATTTTCACTTGGTCTTCTTTATTGTTACGGTCTCGTCTTGAAATCAAAAGGACCACGAAGTGCTCTTCGGTTGACCAAGTTGATTTCCATTGTCATCTTGACGGCGTGTATCACAGCGCTACGAGCAGCCGAGACTATGGCATCCGTACCAGTGATTGTTTCCAAATGTCTTGTAGGCATCCTCTTTATCTTTCAAAATTCCTATGCCCATTTGCTCTACTCGCAACAATGGTCGTTCTTGGGAAGTGTCATGACGCCGTCGGAAGGAACCAAATGGTTTTCAGCCATTGCTGGTCTCAGTTCTCTAGTTTGTACCTTGACGGCAACCATGGTTCACCGACTAGCACCGGTGATCGGTATCCATGGTCTCATTTTGGGTACTGCAGGTGGATTGACATTGAGTCTCTTGTTGGCGGATTATGCCTACGCCACGAGCGAAGAGTTTGGGTTTGACCCCAAGAAGGACATGGTGAAAGCGAAAAAGAAAAAGCCAGATGGCACCACTGCTGCTGCTGAAGAAGAACAATCTCTATTATCCAAGACCTCCAAACTGTTCCACCGCGTCCCCACGTTGGCTTATCTGTTTGGAGAAGTCATTTCCTTTCAATCCCTGTCGACCGTCCTGCAAATTTGCTTTGTCCGTCAACTCAAACAACAAATACCAGGCGATACGGCCCGAGCAGCCTTTTCGGGTCGTTTCTATGCCTACATCAATGGAATCAGTGCCACTATGCAATTCTTTGTCTTGCCCATGGCGCGCAAGTACATGGAACCCAAATGGGTGTATCGATTCATGCCCACAATATTGTTGCCTTGGCTCATCTATGCCTCGTTGCAAACGAATAATTTGTGGGTGGCGGCGGCAGCCTTTTTCAATCTCAAAACTTTGGATTATGCGCTCCGCAATGTGGTGAATGAAATGGTCTTTCAACCTTTGGATTTCGAGTCACGGTACTTGGGCAAGGAAGTGATTGGAGTATTTGCCAATCGATTTGGCAAATCTGGCATGTCCTTGATATTGAGCTTGGTGACGGCACAATTCTCGGGCGTGGGGGTTCCCGAACTCTCCAAGCTCAGTGTGATTGTTGCTACCATGTGGGCCTCGTGCAGTTTCAGACTGAGCAATACCGTGGTGTCCAACAAGGAAGCCGAAGAAAAGGTGAAGAAACGACAGAATAAGAAGAAGGATTAAAAGATAGGAAACTAGGGATAAAATTAGGGATAAGGCTAGCTAATAACAAATGTCATATATCGCTGATTGCAAGACAACTAAAAGAATAGACTGGATGGAAACCCTGATTGGAACACAATAGAATGCATGCTTTGTCCATGCTTCCTCACCCAATTCATCATAATCATTCACGTGCAATCGAAAACTTCCCTTGTACTTTTTTCTCCGTCGCAAGCCGGCAAACACAGGCGGGAATTGAATTTACAACCTTCGGGTGTGGACATAATCCAATATACGCTGGCGTGATTGGCATGAGATTTGGAAAACTACTAGCAAAAATGCGCGTGAATCAATCAGAGAAAGTCCACCAGTCCACGGTTGTGATTAGCATTGTTAAAAATCATCAAGGGTCAAGAGACGCTCCATCATCCCCACAGGGAGGGAAAACCATTAGAATCCTCCATCGCCTCAGAAAGTACTATAGAGTCTTCAATCCATCGTTGTTACTGTAAACAATCAATTCAAAGACATTATATCAATTTATTCATTCAATCAGATAACTCCCATCATTACTCATCACAACATCACTCATCAAAACAAAACAATCGTACACAAACAACAATATGGGTTGCAACTCGAGTAAACACCAGTCAGCGGCAGCAGCAGAATCATCCAAGAAAGCAGCTAGTAAGAAAAAGAGCAAAGGAAGCAAGCCAACCAAACCACCAAGCCTCAAGGGCAAGAATCCGGATCGCTTGTTCAAGCTCTTTTTTCAGGCACTGGATTGCAAAACCTCGGAAGAGTTGCTGCCCTTTTATGAAAAAGCCATGGAACTCTTGGATACGAATGACTTGAATCTAGCCAGGTACCGACACGGCTCGACCAAACAATCGCCCTTGCACTTGTTGGCCAAACTCATGGATGTGGATTGCTCTCGCAAACTTTTGGCCATTTTGGAAAAGTTGATCAAAATGAATCCACAAGCACTGACTGTGGCGGACAGTACGGGAAACATTCCTCTCCATTATGCTGTGGCACCCAGGGTCTATTTGCTGGAAAATGATGTTGACGCGGACGGCAACAATTCAAACAAAAAGAAGATGATAACCAAACGAGTACCCTTTAGTTGGCAGGCCCGAGGAATCTTGCTTTCCAGATTTATTCAGGCAGATCCCGTATCCTCGGAGTATTATTTGAAACGAAACAGTGTTGTCTATGACGCTGCGGATGCTGTCGGAGGATGTTCACCGCTGTATAGAGTCTTGCAGACATTGGGAGATGATTTCAACTCGGCGTCTCCAACGGTCGCTTATGTGGATGTGATTCATCGTGGCGCCAATGCCATTGAGCTGCCTGGGATTGGAAATTCGTGCGATGGAGACAAACCACTGAGCTTGCTCTACCGAAAATTCACTCGGCAGTTTGATATTTCCGAAAAGTTCTTTGCGGGGGACAATAGTCGACCTGAAGTGGTGGAACATCGGCAGAAATACAAGACGGCGGCTGGCAATACATGGAAATTGATTGAAGTTCTATTGCGACCAGTCGATCCAGTGGAGCAAGAAAAACCCTGGGGTATCGTCCACAGGGCGGTCCAAGTTGAAACCCCACCCGATCTGTTGCGATACATTGTCGAAACCAATGCACAAGATTTGACAAGGGTGGATGGCGATGGCAATCTACCTCTCCATTACGCGGCTGCCAGCAAACCGGCCAAACACGTCAATCCCAAAGCACACTTTCCAGTCTTTTACAACAAGTACGTGGTGGACGAACTCTTGTACAAGTTTCCAGAGGGAGCCACCTCACGTGACGCCAGTGGAAGATATCCACTCACGCTGGCGGTGCAATCCAACAAGCAATGGATTGGAGGTGGTATCAAATCGTTATTTGACGCATTTCCGGATGCTATGCAACAGATTGATTTGGAAAATCATGAATCATTACGGCGGGCTCTCTCCATGACGGAAGGAAACCAGGCTAGTGATGACGAAGACGACGATGATGATGAAAGCAAGGAAGAAAAGATAGACACGGGAAGTAAGGCGATTGATGGTGTCATCAAGGATCATCACCATGATGCCATTATGCTTGTCCAACAACCTGATGTTGATGTTTCGGAAGTAGTCACGAGCATGTGGGCACACGAAGAGGATGCGGGTGTTCAAATGCTTGGTTGTTTGGCCATTCACAAGATGCTGGTCAAGTTGAAGAACCAACCACAAGAAATTCTTCGGATAGCCCTGTCGGCTGTTGCGGCAGTTGTCAATGCTATGAAGGCACATCCCAATGAAATGATAGTCCAAGAGACGGCCTGCAAGGCTCTTCGATGCCTTGCTCCGGCGGACGGACAACGTGAAGTCAGTATGGTAGCCAGTGGTGCGGTCGCTGCCATTGTGGGTGCCATGCAAGCCCACGTTGGTGACTCCAGTGTCCAACAAGAGGCATGTATCTCACTGTCCACGATTGTCCAACAAGGAGGGGCAGACCGTGCCACAATTGTCGCATCGGTCAGTGGTTTAACGGCCATTCTCAATGCCCTTTCCGCACATCCCAAAGACTTTGCAGTCCAAACAGCTGGATTGCAATCACTGATATCCTTGACGGATCATGCCAAGGAAGCAAACCTGCCCGATCTACCCAGAACACAAACGGAACCAATACTAGTCAATGCACAATTGAACTTTCCGAAAGAATGTCGAGAAGCCATTGAAATTTTGTCACGACGAATGTCTGCTTGAGGCAATTGGCATACCGTATATATCATATCACATTATAATCTATAATTTGTCCCTCTGTACTATCATGCAGTATGTTATGCAACGAATGGAAGATGTTGCACCAAGGCCCCAACCCTAACTGTACAGTAATCAAGACATGTGACAAAACGTATTATATAATTTACTACCGGATGATATAGGACTAGAGACAGAAATATTTCATCAAATGTACTTGTAGCCAATGGACCGATGCACGAACAATCGATCAACACATTTTCTTCACTTTATTGTGGCTCGACAAAGTCAGATCGCGCATCATCATCCACCACCAATTGCATGACACAATTTGGAACATGTTTCGAGACTGATGTAAAGGCATCGGACGAAAACCATCCATCAATGGTTTTGTCAAACCCATATCTGGATTCCACCGATTCGGCGTCCTTTTCCAGCACTTGGGCATCCTCGGATCCATCATCGCTGTTGGCATCGGAATTAAACGACTCATCTAGGGACTTCACAAATTGGCGTTTCTTAGTATCCCGTTTGACTGGCTTTGGGTTGTCAAAGAAACCATCGAATGCGGTCGGTGCCATTGCCGATGTTTTCTCGATAATGGTGTCCAATGCGGGTGACGAAGCTTGTTCAAATTGGTTGGCGGCAGTTGCGACGGTTTGGGCAGTGGCAGAGGCCACTGACACGACAGAGTCAGTGTTTACTGTGTCCGCCACGGACTTGACCGACTTGGCCACAGATAAGGTGGCGCTGAGAAACGCACTATCCGTATCTTGTGACGCTTGCTCTTTGGGTTCTTCATTCTCCTTATTATCATCTTCAATCTCTTCGAAAAAGTCTCTTGCTTCTTGATTCATTTCGTCATCTGGGAATTCCTCCTCATCAACGGATTGAGGAGTGATATAGTGGTAGGTTGGTGGTGGTGCCAATTCCCTTGCCAATGCTTGTTCCTGATCGAATGGCAATTCAAATGACGTGTTCAAACCATTGCCCATTCGAACAGTCAAGACGCTCTCCTCCAATTCGGTGTCGTCCTGTTCGTGAATGATAGGTACTTGTACGATGGGCTCAGCAGTATCATCGCTTTGGTCGCTGGGAAGATGGAACTGAGCAACATCAATAAATGATTGCTTCACTATTGTCTCTCCCACTGTCTTTCGTTGGTGTTCCATTGGAGGAACATCGTCTTGTTCTTCTTTCTCTGCAGTTGGTTCGGTGACAGTGATCTCGACACCAGTCATGTCGGGTGGTTGAACCGTGCAGCTAAGCCCATTAACTGTATGTTCCACATGCGATTCGCAGTTGAAATCTTTCAAGAGATTTTGGGAAAGCGCAACATTCTTTTCCAAGCTCTTCCAAATAGATTTGGCTTCTAGATCCTCGCTGTGTGCAACATTATAAGTTGTAGTCTTTGGAATAAAGTTGGGAGAAAAACTACCATCATCGTCACTCAAAGATGCCTCCATATTTCCGAAAGACCTCTTGAGGGCTTCTTCAGGTGTATCAGGCTCTGTTGGGGCGGTCGAAAAAGGAGAATAGGGTGTTTCCTTATCGGCGGACACGAGCATGATGTTTCCAATGACTGCCACGGGAGGATTTCCATTGAATTCCGTGTACTCAAAGGATACATCGTTTTCGTCAACATCGGACTGGTGCTCACTACTATTAGATTCGATCGATAAGAATCCAGGATAATCTTGATCGGGAATTTCTTCCCCGATTTCGGGCTCTTCCAATTTCCAAAGCGCTTCTTCCTCGGGTTCATCCTCTTCTTCGTTTTCTTGCACTGCATCTGCAACGTTTTCTTCTTCGGGTAGTTCCGTCACTGTGGAAAGTTGACAGGGAACATTGTCGACCATGTGCACAGCCGGACTTTCGTCGTTGGAGCACTCAGCTTCACTTCGTTGCTTGGGGAGAGCTGCTGGCTTGGTATCATGTTCCAATTCCTGGATGTCGTCAATGATATCGGCAGCCGAGGTAGGCTTCAAATCTGTAATCAAGTCTTCGCCATCTTCAATCTTTCGAATCATCGGCTTGGACTTCTTCTTTCTGCTGTTGGTGGTGGTAGAACTGGTGCCGGTGCTGATCTTTTCCTTTAGCTTGCGCATGGTCTTTCCCTTTAGAACTTTCATGATGATGATATCCTGCTAGTATCGATATCGGATGAAAGGAAAGGTGCAGCGAGACAGGGAAAACGAATTTGTGGCACCAGATTTGAGAGGGGAATTGACAAGGAGAGCTTCCATTTCAGATTCAAACATGATACCCGCCAACACTTCAAGCCGGCCAACCCTTGCATCTACCATTTCTACGGAATCCCTACGATCGTACGGGATCGGCTGAATCGCAAATTCAACTTTTTGAACCGCTTTCGGAGCGATTTAAATTTATTTCAGCGGGGCTTTGTCCCCGCCATTCGCTTCGAGGCAGTTGATCGGATCGACTCGAAGTATTTCAAGTTTTTTGATGATGAGGTTACTTGGCAGAAAAAATTATAACATGTAGCTTCATGTTGGGAATCTTAGGAAGACAAGTTTTATTCTTCCATGGCAACGCAGCGTACTATCCGCTACTCATAGAGTTAATCCTTTACAATTTATGTTTTCTTTCATGATTCTATAATCGCTACCAAGAAGTCTGTAGTCCTAGGATCAATATGATATGCATCTCAATTAATTAAAAGCAAGATCGACCCACTCTTGGACAATATATTCTAATATTCTGGCCGCTTACTTGCTTTGAAAATCCTTCCAGGTATCTTGCAGCAGTTGCAAGAACTTCTTGTTCTCTTCTTCGGTACCTATTGTTACACGAATGCACTGATCACAGTGCATCTCGCTTCCACGATAACGAGTCACGACACCCTTATCTGCCATGGTCTTGTACATTTCAATTGCCTTGTCTTTTACGCGGAACAACAAAAAATTGGAATCACTGGGGTAAACTTTAACGACAAAGTCCAAAGCTTCCAACTCTTTGGCGACAACCTCTCGTTGTGCCAACAAGCTGGCAATGTTCTTTTCCAAAGTGGAAATCGACTTCATGGCATTGATGGCAACTTCACTGGTCAAGGAGTTGACATTGTAAGGAGCCTTGACATTGTTCATTAGTTGGATGACATCCGGTGCCCCGATACAGAATCCGCAACGAATTCCAGCCAATCCAAAGGCCTTGGAAAGTGTTTGCAAAACGACGACGTTGGGGTACTTGTTGACCAATTCAATAGCGCTGCCTTCCTTGCTAAAGTCTACGTATGCCTCATCGACGACGACCAATCCCTTATACTTTTCACTGGAGGCGACCTTTTCAATCTCTGATAGTGGGATTGCCTTGCAAGTTGGGTTCCCAGGACTGCAGATGAACAGCAACTTGGTTTCGTCGGTGACGGCATCCAACATCTGATAATTTTGTATAAGGAAAGACGCATCACATAGAAACAGAAAAAGAATATCCGCAGTCATATCACAAAGAAAAATATCCACAGTCAGAAACGAATGAATGGCAACACATGTACACTCGTCAGACGTCTCGTTGGGCCCATCACACCAATCTGAATTGTCATGACGACGACTGAAACATACTAACATACCTCTGAAACCCGAATATCAAAGTCGGGCGTCAAGGGAACCGACAAAAGTGAAACATCATTGACCTTGGCGCAAACCTTGTACATGCCATACGTGGGAGGTGTAATCAGGATATTGTCCTTGGCAGGATAGCAAAAGATTCTCATCAACAAATCAATGGCTTCATCCGATCCTACACCAACAAAAATGTTCTCAGGCTTCATGCCGTGCCCACGGTATTTAGCATACAATTCCTTTAGACCAATTTGATAAGGATCGGGATAACGCTCCAAAGTATTGCAATTGTCGTAAGGGTCCAAACACTTGGTGGGCAGACTGGTAGGACCGTAGGCATTTTCGTTCGCATCCAACAAGACACCGCTGGAATAATCGTCGCGGGCACATCGATAAGGGTGCAATTCAAGAATGTTTTTGCGAGCAATGCTTGCGGCAATTCCGGTTCCAGTTGTCATTTTGCTATTGTTGGTATTGGCAGTTACTGTGTTTGAACTTGATTTTCGACCGTTGCTTTTGTCGGAAGTTGAGAATAAGGAAGATGTTTCCTTAGGGCTAATTGCCTGTGTGTAGAAGATAAGTTGACAGGCAAGAACAATGTAAATAAAATTCTGAGGACAATATCTCATTCACAGAATATTCAACAAATGGATGGTGGTCTAAATACCTTTTTGCTGCTTCCGATGAGAAAGTGGAAGGGATCAGGTTTGAGGTTGTCACGAGAATTACAGAACTCGTGGTGAAATTGTGAAATGTGAGACAACCGCTCTGAAGCCACTGCTTTTGTTTAGATGTTGGGTGATGACAACGGAAAAGACGTAAAACCTTGTTGTCTGAAAATTAATTGAATTGTGTGCGAAAACATGCACGTAAACGATGTGGATGACGATGGTTACTCGAACACGATGTTCAAAGCCATTGTTGACTACAAGAAAGATCCGAAGGTGGCTGTCTCAGAGGAGAAGTCTTATGTCATGAGCAAGAATGGACAGAGACGAACTCGAAAGACCACCAAAGGATGGAAACTGATGGTCCTATGGAACGATGGGACACAGTCTTGGATTGACTTGAGCGTTTTGAAGGAATCCAATCCTGTTGATGTTGCTGAATTTGCAAAAGCGCATCATATTGATGAGGAACCTGCATTCCGCTGGTGGGTACCTTATACACTCAGAAAGCGAGACATGATCATCTCTGCTGTTAAGGCCCGTGTCAGAAAGACTACGCACAAGTACGGTATTGAAATACCAACAAGTGTAGAACACGCAAAGAGGCTTGACGCCCAAAATGGTAACAACTTGTGGATGAAAGCGTTATCTAAGGAAATGTCCAACATTGGTGTTGCAGTTGAAGTGCTGGCCTATGGCGTGCTAGCACCTCCTGGATATTCAAAGGTCACTGGTCATCTAGTATGGGATGTGAAGATGGATTTCACTCGCAAAGCCCGATGGGTACTTGATGGTCACAAAACACCTGATCCCCTGTATTCTCAGTATGCAGGAGTGGTATCACGTGAGAGTGTCAGAATTGCCTTTACCTATGCTGCCCTGAATAACCTGGACGTTTTTGCTGCCGATATCCGAAATGCTTACCTTCAAGCACCCTCATCCAGAAAGGACTATATCATTTGTGGCCCTGAATTTGGATTGGAGAATGTTGGAAAGGTTGCCTTGATTCATCGTGCATCCATCATCTTCCAGGGTGGGTCCGGCTCCAGAGTCCAATGCATCGCAGAAATAACTTTGGGCTCGGCCGGGACCAGTCAATGTTTCTTCCCAAGAATCTTGGCAAGAACAATAGCATTGACATCAGCAGATGTAGAAGGAGCAGGCGCATGGCTAGCGGCATTGGCTGTTTTGAGTGCACTGACAAGAGTATCATGGAGACCTTTCTTCTTGTCTTCCTCATCAGTGTATTGCTTGACACGTCGTTTCAGCTCCTTTTCAAAAGCAGCAGCCGATACTTTTCCTTCTTTCTTTGGAGACGAGTTTCCACCATGAGCTTTAGCCTTTGCAGCTCTATCTCTTGCGACTGCAGCCTTCCCCTCAGGTGTCAAACGCCAAGCTTTGAGCTCAGCTCTTTGCTCTGCAGGGAGCTTGTCGAACTCCTTTTTCTTGTAGAAACGAAGATGAACGCCAGTCTTTCCAATTCCAGATCTCAGAGAAGCAATCTCAATGGTTTGGTTGGCTGATTCATCAATGGTAACAGTAGTATCTGAAATTTGTGCGTGACTGCGCTTGTTCTTCTTGGCAACCGGGTCGGCAAGTTGGAGCAATCGTGCACATTCTTCAAAAGAATATCTTGGGCCATTAGGATCTTCGTTGCCCTCAATGTTGGCAATAGTCGCATGGAGCCCAGGATCAGTTGTGTGGAGCGCTCGAAGGAGGTATCCAATCCTTGTGTGCTCATTTGGAATCTGGTATTCCACATGTTGAGAGGCAGTAAGGAGAGCCTGGTGGGCATTGCGGTGTCCTCCAATGAATCGTTCCAAAGGAAAAGTGCCGTTTCCCTTCCACTTTTGAACAGTAATGAAATCGGTGTTCTTTTCAATTTCTTTAGACCACTTCTCTTTACCAAGGTATTGAGCAACAATGGCAAAGAAGGCACCTCTTCCATCTCTTGTCTGCTCAAATGGGGTCAAAGACGAAGCATAAGTCGTCCCTCGTAGCGCTTCCTCCAGTTTGGCAAATACTCGAGCATTATCCTGGTGAAACCTAGGATGAGTGTGGGATGCTCTAGCAGTGAATTCAGCAACAAGCGAGCCATGTTCAATAGAATATGGTCGATCCGGAGCAAGTGGTGGTTCAGCTGGAACATCAGCGTCTTCTCTCAAGACATATCCAAGAGGGAAACCTCTTACACCATAGCTCTCATGGATGACAGATCTAAAGGCAGCAAGCCATTTCATGATGGGCAAAGCTTTGCTGACACAGGGTACCTTTGGATCTTCCCGCTCTTGAGCAATCTTCAGTGCTTCACGCTCCTCTTGATACATGATGAGTGTATTTGTCCATCTCATGCATGCTGCAGTGAGCGCTCTGCCAGTAGCAAGATAAAATCGGACAGCAGAGGCAGCAGTCTTGAGGCGTGAAAGAGACAGGGCGCTGAAGACACTATTTGGAGGGCCATGTCTTGTGATGTGCTTGTGAATATCATCAAGCATGCCGTCATTGAACTCCTTGAGCGAATCTATTGTTGTGATGCCTTGCTGATTCAGATGGGGATCGAAAATTCCTGGTGGGATTGCCATCTGATCATCATGGGTGAAGAAAGCAGTGTTTTGGGCATTTGTAATGACCATTCTGGGTAGTCGTTAGACAGTGGGTACTGATAAACTGTTTAGATGTTGGGTGATGACAACGGAAAAGACGTAAAACCTTGTTGTCTGAAAATTAATTGAATTGTGTGCGAAAACATGCACGTAAACGATCGCTAGCATCGCCAACGTTCACCAACGTTCAATTTGGCGTACTAACCGACATTCCGTCTGTCTGCCTGACGTTAGAACACCACAACTTTTTCTCTGTCTGTCCGTTGTAAGCTTATTCGTAGATTGGTAGACAAATCCAAAACTATAAAAGTACTATTTGATTATGGCTTCAGAGTGACGAAACCTGCAGTTGCATCGAAGGGATGACGCACTCATGCAAAAAGTCCGAATGTACTGACCGCAGACAGACTTCCTCCAGACTCGGATTTGACTCGGATGACACTAGTCTTCAATGGTACTCTTGCTTTCTTCCTGCTTGCCGCCAATACTACTTGTGTTATTAGCATTGTGAATCACAGCCGCAATCATGGATAGGGAATTTGTCACCTTTTCGATCGGATTGATGTTGTCCTGTATTATTGTTTCCATGATTTGCTTTTCAAAGCAATGGGACACTGCCACCAATATGTGGAGCTCACAACACTTGATGGGCAAGGAACCACTGCGACTAATGGCGACTAGCAGATCCATGGCCTTGTTCCTTTCCATCGTCAATTCATCGCTATCAAGAAGCGTCCGCTGATTTTGTTCCCATCCCATCAGTAGGTGCTCTTGGCGGGATCTTTCCCAGTACTTGGAAGTCTGGACAATGGTCGATTTCAACGCGCCATCTTTGTCCATTTCCTCAAACTTGGAATCCAATATACTAGGAATCAAGGTAAGATCATTTGAGGAAGAGGTATCCACACGCTTGGGCAAAAATGTTGTCGTTGATGGCGGCTGACTCTCGTGTGATCCCGTGGAAGGAACAGCTGCCATTTGTTGGCCACTCAGAAATGCCATTTGTGGCATGTGTTCCCCTGGTGCCGAAATCATCTCAAGTGATGCACGTGGCTGTTGATGCCTTCGATTGGAAGAATGCATCCCACCGGAGTCCTCTTCATTTGGGTATGCTTCCACTCTTCCGTCGATTGCCTCTTGTAATTTTGCTCGCATTTTGGCGTCGTCTAGTTCCTTGTCTTTGGCTCGCTCCAAGGTTTCCAGTACTGTCGAAGCATACTGTCGTACCGTCTTTACCTTTTCTTGCACGCTGGGTTCACCTTCATCCTCATTGCCGTTGCTAGATCGATCAAAGGAAAGAAGATCGGACGGTATTTGGTGATCCGCGAAGAGCGTCATGAGATCTTGGGTCAACTGGATTTCCTTGGTCAATGCACCCTCTGGAAGATTCAGTAGCGTTTCCAATTGTGGTTTGATTTGAATGATGCAAACGCCAAAGACCGAGGACTCGAGTTGCATTTTTCGGTAGGCTTCGGCAAAGGCACGTTGTTCTGGGGACAGGGATGAAATGGAGTCCCGAAATTCCTTGGCACTCGGCAAAGTGTTGGTGAGAAGAGGAATCAATACCTCGTCCTTGTTTTGAACAATAATAGCATCTTTGGGCACAAAGGTGTCTGGTCCACTCATGACTCCCAAGACAACCAAGAAGCTAGAGAACTGATTCGCTCGAGCAACCAAGTTTGTTTTCCAAGATCCGTGATCCAAACCCCAACGATGTTGCACCCATCCATGCAAGTAGCGATCCCCTTGAAGATTGATTGAAGTGGCAGCATCTACGGCAAGGGCAATGGGCGGATTGGAATCCCCACCTGGGATGTGACGCACCATGGTTTCCACTAATGACCCTTCACCGGCTTGACCTTCGATGGAGATTGTGCCATCTGGAAATTGTCCACCCCGTCGAATGGCATAGGAGAATGGTTTGGGAGCATATTCTGACGTCAAGATCTGTTTCGAGTAGTGACTCATGAATCGGTCAAAGTCTTGGGATGTCAATTCCTTTCCGATGGCTTGGATCAGTTGATCTCGGAGCAAACCTTCCACATAGTCGACACTGTCAGCCCAAGATTCCGTCAGCTCACCAAGATGACGTAGCATACTGGTCAATACAATGTCCTTTTCTGACATGTACCCCTCATCTGGATATCTCGATTCGACGGAATGAACAAAGTCATCCATGGAATCGTCGTGCTTGGAAAGAAACAAATCAATGTCTCCTGTGGGTAATACAGAAGAACCTTCAAACAAGGGGAGAATAGGAGCAAACATCATACTTTCCAAAGCTTGTCTTTCTTCAGGCGTAGTAGGCCGACGATTGTCATTGTCTGCTGGAGCAACCTTTTCCAAGTGTTCAAAAATGGAAGAAACCTCGTCGGCCCATGCTTCATATTTGTTTCGAAAGGCAAAGGCTTGTTCAATTTCCGTGTTTCGCCTTGGTGTCTTGCACGCTTTTGATTGTCGGTCGACTGAGAATTCACTGCTGAGTAGTCCTTTGGTCGTCCCATAACTCATGATTTGTTGAAAGAGCCAGGTCATGTCGACTGTCAAATCGTGAACCCGTGACGGCAAGGGAGTGGGAGGTCGTCGATCCGTAGGCCGTCCTTTATTCAAGCTCCCCAACAATACAATTTCCGTTTCCATGTCACTTCGATTTTGCAATTCAATTTCTTGATCGTCCCCAATTTGGAAATAGACTCGATAGGGTGTGCTCAATTTCCATTCGTAATCCTGAACCGTAGCCTTGACCTGAATGTTTTCCTTGGAAGAAGATGCCAGACGACCGATCAATCCCGCGCCTGATTTCACACTACCTATAATATCCATCTCGGACCGAATCACCTTTCGTTTCGTTTGCTGGACAAAGTCACACGTTTGGTCCATCCGAAAGTGAAGGGAGACGGGTTTCTTGTGTTCCTGCACGGCCTTTACGAGCTGGAGCAAGGTTTCGTGCGATAGACCAATTTTCTTGAGGACGGAAATGGCGGATGCAATCAGAGTGTTGGTCATGGTGTCGACCATTGCGTACTTGTCATTGTAGGTATGATGCTCCGCCTCTTCCAGCAAAACGGGATGACGTGTGGTGTTGAGAATCGTGCCGACCGCCTGCAGTGCATCTTGGACTGAGTTTGAAAAAGACTGCTGGTTAGACAAAGAAGGAAACACAAAAGCTTCAAGCCTCAGCCACCATACTGTATACGCACCCTTGTTCCGAAAATGCACCTGATGCAAATCCAACGGACTGACAGCTTGGCAAATCGTCACAGTACCTAAGCTAATTCCAAACAGAATCAAGAGTGGGCGAAATGATTGCATTGTGAATCTTATTCTTTTCTCTTTCGTGAATACTGTATTATCTGTTCCATAGAGGCAGTGTATGAATAAATCGTTGCAATTCCAACAGTCAACGAGAAGTCGGTTGTGGACGACGTGTGACATGCGTTTTTGTTCATCATATAGCATTATTATTGACTTGCAAATCCTGAACTTCAATCAAATGAGTCGACTCCGAACCGATCCGAAATCATCGTGTCTCGTCATCACGTCGTTCTTCATATCTTTGTTGACACGACACACCACTGTATATCTTTGAATAGCAAGATAAACAATGAGTTCAACACACTGGCTACCAGAAACAGCAAAAGGCGACAACCTTCCCAATGCTTTATGCCTCGGAACAGGCCGATTCTTACGAAGCGTCTTGGTGCCAACCTTGGTGGGAGCTGGCTATCGACCTGCCTTGATTCAAACACGGGGAAGAAGTTTTATGGAGTTCATGGCTTCTTCTGACTCTGCAACAACAACATATCCGGTAGATACCGTCTTGCCATCTGGGGACATTCAGACAGATTCAGTGGCCTGTTGGGGAGCCTTTAGTTTGGGAACTTCTGAGGATAAGAGTTATGTGCTCGACAACTTTTTGCCCACGCTCAAAGGCATCTCCATTCTTGGAATTGGTGTTACAGAGGCAGGATTGGCATCCAAAGACACTCAAGTCATGAAAGATTTGTTCCTTGTATTTCAGAAATTTCAACAAGTCATCGTCAAAGACAAGAAATGTGAGGATTTGAATGGCAAAAAGATTTGCGTCATTGACATGGACAATGTTCCCAACAATGGCGATAAGGTTCGACAATACATGTTCGAGCTAGCTGCTGCTACTGAAGATAAAGATATGACATCATTCCTGGAAGAACATATCGTCTTCATGAACTCCATGGTCGATCGAATCACTTCGCATCGAGAGGGCGACAAGATGGTCCCGAAATGTGAACCCATGCCCGCCAAGGCGTTGGTCGTTTTGGATCCCAACGGAGATCTACCACAGTCGTTTGGTCAGCAACCTGGTGTTGTGGTTCGCAAAAGTGTAGACGAGCTCCAATTGGACATTGCCCTCAAGTTGAAGGTAGCCAACGGGACACATACAGCGATTGCTCATTTGTTGGCACTAATGAAATTGCTAAAGACAGATGTTCTCAGCAGCGACAAGCCTGGTTCACTCATGATGAAGTACCTAGACAGCATGGTGGAGAATCAAATTGTTCCATCTGCTGGGGTCAATCAAGAGGAGGCGACTGCCGTCTACAAGGATTGGCGACAGCGACTGGTCCATCCACATTTTGGTCTTTCGAGTTTCTTTATTACCCAAAATGGGCCCGCCAAAGGAGGCATTCGATGGGGTCCTACAGTCAAGGAACTAGCACAACAAAAGATACAGTTGGAATACAGCATGGCATTTGCATATGCTGTCCTGTTGCGGTGGCTGACACCAGTCCCCAATACAGAGGTGGACTCCTCCTCGGGGATTTGCACGGGATGGCTCGATGGAGTCGATGTGAATCAAGTCACGATTGACAAGAACAAGGGTACTGAATATGCCGATGGTCTACTATACGATCTGGAGAATGGATGGTATCAGTACAAGTGCTCCATCAACAGCAATATTGGTGGTAGTGATACCAAGTTGACGGCCCTTTTGCAGAAATGTGTGACCTCCAAAAGCACAGAGGATTGCAAAGATGCAGTCAAAATGTACCTCTTGGCATCCGATGGTGGAGACCTCTCTTCGGTCCAGGAATCCATCAATGAATTGACAGAAGCTGTTTCACAACTGTACCTTGGCTTGATCTCTGGCAAAAGTGTCGGGGTCCTCCTGGAAGAGCTTGGAAGCAAGAGCAATGGTATTGGCTTTAGCGACAAGTGTTGAAACAATGCAAGATGATGTTATAATCTTGAGTGAGTAAGTCCTCCAGTAAAATAATGAAGCTGGCAAATATCTATGCTTCATTCCTAAACTTTTCTTATCGATGTATAATGTAGGTATCGCTTTGCGGTCGTGGGCAATACCAGTACACATGTACATGAGTTCTGTAGCGAAATCAAAAGAATTGGAAATCTGAATGAGCGTTAATTTTTTAACGCTCGTCTCGATTTTATTTAGAAAAAAAAACGCGTAAACTCACACACCTGCAAACGGGCACGCTGCGGTTTGGATTTTGACCCACAAAACGTCAAAAAACACAAACCGAACGCATCTCTTCATTGTATACTTCAATTCCTCTACAAAGCACGCATAATCCAATCGCTCTCCCATTGCAATCTGGAGAACCAAAATGAAGAGCAAGACTTTCATGCTGTCGACGTGGTTGCAGATCCTCCTCACCTTGGCCACATTGAGTCATCCATCAATCGCCGATCTCACAACATTCAACGAGCCTTGTCTTGGTGTCGTCAGCGATCAATTATCCATCGACGGAGATGATCTACTGTGTCAGACACCTACTGGAATGCTATACAATGTTTCATCTGTTGGAGATACTTGGGTCGAGAAGCATATGCTCACCGGAGAACTCTTCTCCGGAGAGACGATCCTTGAGATTCCTGCCAATACTATTCTAAACACCGATACACAAACGCTTGAGATGGACGAACCACCATCTCTTCACCTACAAGATCAGGGACGAAGAAGATTACGGCAACTCGCAAAAACACAAGGCGACAAGACGGTCCTTGCCGTCCGTGTTGTTGCATCCAACAGCGATACAACCCATAATGCAGAAGAGATTTCTCATGCCATCTTTGGCGGTCCCAACGACCATGTTAACCTCAAATCGCAAGTCCACGCTTGCTCTCACGGTAAACTAAACTTTGAAAGGCGTCCAGACTTGGACGGGGTTGATACAAATATCCGCAATGGAGTTGTCACCATCAAGGTTATCATGACAGTTGAAGTCGGGCACTCAAAAATTGTCAATGCTGTATCACAAGAGATTCTTCGACAATTTGACAAGACCCACATGGACATTGCAGACCATGTAATGTATTGTTTGCCTATCGGAGCCATGGACGGAGTTGCGTATGCTATCATGAACAGAGGTCTTTCTGTTTACAATGATAAGTTTTGCACTTCTGTTAGTGCGCAAATGCATGAAATCGGGTAAGTTTTGTAAAAGCTCACAACGGAACTTCAATCAACTCATACTCTAACCATATCGCTTGTCATCTGTAGCCATAACTTGAACCTTGGACACTCATCAGAACGTACCGAAAAGTATGGAGATCAAAGTGGAATGATGGGATACTCTTATCGTTCCAGCGAGGCCCCCAAGATGTGCTACAAGTAAGTCCACGATTGCAACGCAATTTGTTTGATCATACCGAGTCAAACACGCCTAACTTATTCTCTTGCTATTGTAGTGCCGCAAAGAGCTTTCAACTTGGATGGTTCCGTGACAAGACATCTTCCTACACTCCAGGAGAACCTAGCTGGGCAGATCATGACCGTACCTTCAATCTTGCCAGTATCGTGGATTACGATACTACCAACTACGATGTCACTGTCGAAATTCTCCAACCGCAGCTCCAACTCAATTACTATATCAGCTTCAATGCCGGAAAAGAGTTCAACTCTGGGGTTAGAGAAGGAAAGAATCAAGTGCTGATATTCAAGCAGGCATTGATCGATGGGAATGATTCTTGGCGTGTTGCTGATCTTGCTCCTGGTCAGTCTTTCACCGTATCTGACTTCAATGGCAAAACTGGAGATAAGCTTACAATTACTGTGAACTCGATGAATCTTGGAACCAGCGAAGCAGTTGTCCGCCTTCAGTTGCAGCAAGCCAGACGCCCAACTCCGTCACCAACTCAGTTTCCGACAAAAGCTCCAACATCTGCCCCCACGCCCAGACCAACTCGAGATGCTGTTGGAAGAAATCCTACACCAGATGGCTCTAACGTCACCGGTCAGTCCTGTCAGGGTTCTTTTCAGACATGCTCAGGCACCCCAGAATGTTGTGCAGGGTACTCCTGCCGCAGAATATTAGACCCATCGGGTTTCCACAATGTTTGCAGAGCAGTTACTAAGAACTCCAAGGATAAGCTGCCCCGTACTACACTTAAATGGTGGGACCGTCGATTGCGTGGTGACAGCACTGCAAATCGTCTTAAGGATTCTGAAGATGAACTAGCTGAATAAGGGCACAGCGCGGTTCGGATTCGGTAATACTGCCCTTCTGCATGACAACTGGGGAAGAAAATTTGGGGAAGTTAGAGGAGCTAAGAATTGCACAATAGTAATATGGACAAAACTTAAAATTGTATAGTGACATTGTTAAAAAGCAGAATGTTAATGGAACTATTGAGACTTTCATGCAATTGCCGAGGGACTAGACGATCCACGCACACATCGGGCATACTGCAAAACACATCAAATGTTAGCTTCATCAGCTAGGATTTTTTTAAAATTTGCAAGGATCACTTACATTGTATACTCGATGGCAGTCTCCTGGCGGTCCAATGTCTTTGGGAGACGTTGCTCCCACCTTACGATCCGACCTCTGAGCTCCAGCTCCATGCAAGTCAACAGCGCCAACTGCTGTACCATCATGGGTTTCAAGATGCCCCATTGCCCGCCCAAAGGCAATATAAACTGCATTGGACCCCAGTGGGATGCCGTCCAAGTGTGTGGTACTGGTCCAGTACCATCCCCAGTCCGCTTGACCTGCTTCGTTTTCGATTTGGGTCGAGTAGAATAGCGAGTCGATCGCTGGTGAGTCAGTGGCATCGGGGCTTCGACTGTAGTCCACAATCGATTGCAACTCATGGGCATCTGGTAGCTTCCAATCGGTAAGTCCTCCCAACTCGAGGTCATTGCAATAATCCAACGCCTCGTCCCAATCCAGAGCAACGCCACTGTCGGAACGTGCCCATTCCAATCCAGTAGCAGTATCCACAATTATGTCAGTGCTATTTCCACTTGTAGAAAATGCGTTCCTGCCGATATTGGTATGGCCCCGGACAAACCGAGCATTGAGTCTGGTGGAACTTCGTTCATTACATTCGATTCGTCCATCGATGGAGTTGAAACCAAAGTTGCAATCTGAATTTGGGTTATGAAGGATGGCACCAGTGTACTGGGTAGATGACCATACCTGTCCATCCATGTAGTGCATATTGCCATACTTGACGTTGAAGACTGTATTATCGATGTAGGGAATGTTCGTTTCTCGGCTATTTCCCTTTTCTCCATTGAACTCGCTCAAGGTGTACAGCTCCTTTATGGTTGGGACCCTCCAGTCGGAATGACCACCAAGTTGAAAGATAGAGAGTTCAGACTCGACTTGAGAATACGTGAGACCCTCACTGTAAACGTGTTGCGTCCACATGAGCCCAGTGTTCAGATCAGAGATCGTTCCATCGTCATTGTTCTGAAATAATTGTTTCAGTCCGCTATACGATGCATCTTGACCGCTTCCAGGACAAGAGAAACCGTCCAGATTACGAGTATTAGTGAGAGCTAGCTCTTGGGCCCGCCGATGAGCTCGCTCTTGGGTATCTGAGTCTGGATCTTCTTCATTCGAACTGGTGCTACTCGCGTGGTAGCTGTCGTAGCAGTATCGTTGATTTGTATCAGTCACCGGATACACATTGGAAGCAAGGGCAACCCTAGTGGATAGAAGCACACAGGCCAGTGTCGTTTGGACTATCATGGTATAAAGAATGTGTTCCCGGAGCTTGGGCCTAAGATCCGAAATTGGGCCCAAAGGTGACGACAAAAGCTGTGAATCACTGGAAAATTATGGTCACATTTCTGCTCTTTTTTCCAGTGAAAGAAATGACTGTTGATATATTCTACGGGATCTTGAGGCAATAAATAAAAAGGAGGATACTCCGTTCAGTGAGAAACCAAATTGTCACCATTCTTCTTTGATCGAGGTCTATCCTACTAGGATCAAGATACCTGCATGCGTATTGTCTGGCAAATTTCTTGCAAAAGCAGCTTCTCTAATCTCGCTCCTTTCAATGAAAAGATTTATTCATGTAGTATCATGTATATCGTATATGATGCATCTGTCGCGTCTCATCCACATTGGCGCGACATTCTTCTTGCTCCATTTTTTAATTAAGTTATTGTTCACCTGGTCCAAAATAATTGGTACAGGTCCTAATGCCTGTCCACTCCAATCCAGCAGCGACAAACGCAATGATTTCACTGTCTAGTTCACTTATATAAAGGCCAGTACCGATATTACCCCGTACAGAGCGAAAAAACGATGGGCTGCAGGTCCGATCATAGCACTTGATTCGTCCACGTCCACTGCGCCCTCTTTTGATGGGCTTGAAGACGAATCGCGTACACATCGAGCAAACTGTAAATTCAAAGAAAAAGTCATCAGACCATGAGTCCAGCCATGTAATTCAAACAATTCAAAGTTGCACCCAGTAGCGACTTACGTTGTACACACGACGATAGTCTCCTTGCGGTCCAAAGTAGTTGGGATCAGGTACGGGCCCTACCTTTGGATCCGACCGCTGTGCTCCAGCTCCATGGACATCGACTGATCCAATCACTGTACCATTCGGTGTTTCAAAATAACCCATGGCTCTACCAAATGCAATGTAGACTGCATTGGATCCCAATGGCTTTCCATCCAGATGTGTCGTACTAGTCCAGTACCACCCCCAATCCACGGCTCCAGCCTCATTGGTGATCTGAGTCGACTCAAACAGCGGATCAATCGCTGGTGTCCCAGTAGAATCCGGACTACGATTGTAGTCCACAATGGATTGCAATTGATGGGCATCGGGAAGCTTCCAGTCGGTATATCCGCTCAGCTCCAAATCGTTGCAGTAGCTTAATGCTTCTTCCCAGTCGAGTGCAATATCGCTGTCTCCCCGAGTCCATTCCAATCCAGTAGCGGCATCAACAATGATATCTTTGTTTGTTCCACTCACGGAAAACAGATTGGTACCAACATTAGTATTGCCCCAGACGTATCGAGCATACAATTTGGTGGAAGTCCGACCATAGCACTTGATGCGCCCATCAATCGAGTTGAAGCCAAAATTGCACTCCGAGTTGGGATTGTCAAAAATGACACCTGTGTATTGATTGGACGACCAAAGCTGTCCATCAATGTATCTTGTAGTTCCGTACTTGACGTTGAAATAGGCGGTATCGATGTACGGAATGTTGTTGTCTTGGCTAGTTCCTGTTTGTCCATTGAACTCACTGAGAGTATAGAGTTCCTTGATGGTAGGAATTCTCCAATCCGAGTGTCCTCCCAAACTAAAGCTGGTGACTTCATTCTCGACTTGTTCATATGTCAAGCCATCTCCATAGACGTCTTCGGTCCACATGAGGCCGGTATTGAGATCGGAAATGGTACCATCGCCATTGTGTTGAAAGCTTTGCGATAGTGTGATGTACTCGGCATCTTGGCCAGTACCAGCACATGTGATTTCGTCGAGGTGTCGCCTACCATTGCCGCGTTGTCCTCCTCCTGTTCCTTGACCAGCAACAGTTCCACCGGTTCCACTTGTTGTTGAGTCGCTATCATAGCACAATAGTTGATTGGTATCCGTTACGATATAAGAATTGGATGCAATGGCTGTGCTCAATGATACGAGCCAGATTGCGATTGCAGAGTGTTTCATGTTTTGTTTTTCAACGATTGTTGATTTTGTGAGGTGAATCCAAACGTATCCTCTTATGAACGTAGCCAAGTGTGATTGCAAGGATTGTCGTGTTCGCATCGGGAACGACCAATCTATCTATCGGTAGTAGATGCAATGCGAACATGACGTTGGTTTGCTACCGGTACCATAACGTGACAACAAAGGTAAAGGCAGTGTTCTCGTTGTGGTTTCCAAAGACACATATCTTTTCACGCACGCACGATGAGCGGGCGTCAAAGGAGCTATTGTAATATATGAAATATATATGCGGGCGGGCGGGAGCATCCAGCTTTATTTTATTTGTTTCCTCCGCCAATTGACTGTTCCGATTGGTCGGAGGGAGAAACATTTTGCTTCGGTTTATTCATCAGTGAGTGTACTCTTGGAAGACAGCATGTGCTTGCTACATATAGTAACTTTCAGAAAAGCCAGATCATTATCTTCTTCTAGAGCTTGTTGGTACAATTTGCAAAACCGAGCACCTATGGAATGGCTACGATTGGTCCCCAAAGAACGGATTTGTGGTCAAGCAGAACTAGTCCCCGCCACGAACCGAATCACCTGAGGAATGATCACATCTGCTCCGCCGACGATGCGATAGCCTTCTCGATCCATACTTGCCGATTGAGTACTCATTTCGCATATTCGGCCCACCGCCATCTTCCATATCGCAAGTTCCAAGAGCGAAGTCTTCTCCATCCGTCGGAACAATTCCAAAGTATTCTGAACCCTCTTCAAGGATTGACGCCGAATGCCTGCATGCCCTTGCCATACATCCGACTCCATTACCATGGACGACAAATTCAATTTCCAATCAGTCAAGCCCCATGTCGACATTGGATCCACCAACGTCCTTTGAAGAACCATTTGGATCAAGGGAATAGCCTTTGGTGAACGATTTATCAAGAGGTAGTCCATCATTGTTTTCCCATTTTTATCTTTGCGTGATGCAACCTCCAAAGGATACCTATCAAAGAGAGTCTCCAGTAAATCACCGCGTTGGTTTGCGGAGGTTGCCACAATGTGAAAGGGGGACATGCCAAGTGAATCCACAACAGTATCGCCGTCTTCACTTATTGAAACGGGAATCGCAGCCATGTCGTACACAGTAGTCCTGGATGCATAGTAGCACGCCTCGTGGATGGGACGGTTATCAAACCGTGTTTTCAAAGCCTCTGTAGTATCTTGATTCCCAATCATGCGATCCAACGCAAAGCAGTTGGTGCACTTGCCAAAGCCCTCCTCATCGTCAATGCTTGGAGGGATAAAGATATTTACCAGAGCGGAGCAAGACGCAAATGTATGATTCTCCATCTTTACATTGATTCCGAGTGGAAACTCAACTCCAAGAAGAGTGGAACAATCCAAGAATAGCGCGTTTCCGGTAGATTCCAATGACTTCGGCAAAGATATCGCAAACAGCGAAGAGCACAAATGAAATGTCATTTGTCCAATGTTCTTTAGTCCTCCATCTTGAAACTGAACATCCACTAGCGATTTACACTTTGCAAACGCATGTGCTCCAATCTTCCACACCGTCGATGGCACCGATATTCCAGTCAGAGCCTTGCATTCATAAAAGGAGTGACTGCCAATCAGTTTCAGTCCTTCCCTCATTTCGACAGTCTTCAAGGATGTACAGGAGCGGAACGCACTGCGATCAATGTTTTCCACAGTCGAAGGAATGGAAAGCAAAGTCAACGATGTGCATGATTCAAAGGCGCGTTTGCCAATGGACTGTAATCCATTTTCAAGATGGACGGTGGTCAATGATTTGCAGTAGCAGAAGGTGTCTTCTGAAATCTCTTCCACAGTGGACGGGATAGAGATACTTGTGAGTGATGTACACCTCCCAAAGGCAAAGGCGCCAATGATTCGAAGACCTTCGAGAAGATCGACAGCCACCAAACGCTCGCATTGAAAGAACAAACCGTCAGCAATCTTCTCCACAGAATCATCGACAGCAACATCTGTAATGTCTCTTGGGACTTCACTTTTCGATTGCCCATTGAATAAGTATTCTCTTTTGTGCATCATTGTTCTCTCTGGCATAAATGGTTCTCGCCGTTGTTGTGAAACAAAACATCTCTCGATGCTATTATTGTTGCAACGTGTAACCTGCGTTTGCAGTTTTGCCTTGTTGCTATAGTATTTGCAGGATTGTGCTTCGAGTCACGAGTTGGGTCCCGTTCTATGCATCAAATCAAAATGAAAAAGGATATTGAAATCTTCTACTTCACTATTGCAATTACTACATGCCGCCAAGGTTTGGCCACTCCATTTGGTTGCTCGCCTGGTCCCAGAACATGTGTTCCAGCTTACAACACATATTAAAATGCTCTTGCATTTCCTTCAACTCCTCCTCAGTTGCAACCTTGCATTCAGCGTCGACAAGCTTAATGTACGCCTTTACTTTTCCTTCAAACTCGTCTCCTCCGTACATGTCAATCCACGCGTCAAATTGCGGTGGGCGATTAGTACTTTGTAAAGAGCAACACGACACGAACGTCAGGTGTTAGTCATATGCTATACAAATGAAATGACGCTTCAAACACTTCAAACTCGTTTTGGTACAAGCGGATTGAATCGGTCCTACTGCGTACATATCTGCGCACTCCGCCAATACAAACGTACCATTCACCAAGTCCCTCACGAAGTTTCAGCATGCACTGTCCAACGTGCATGTAAACCCAGTGGCAAGGAAGAAGGGCAGCTAGTCCTTGCTTGTGCGGTCTTGTTGCCACAACGCGCTTCAAGTATGATGTATACAGCAAAGTATGAGGCATTTGCTTTGCTCCCTCTGCTGAAATGTCCCACTCCTTGAAGAAAGAGCCGTGCAGCATCAGTTCCGCTTCTCCAGCTCCGATTGCGGAAGCCTGCAATTGCTTGGAGTCTTCTTCGGAGCATGCAGATTCTGCCAAGCGACGAAGACAGTCGGCAAAGTCACCAAGATACAATGCATCTTGCACGACATAGTATTTGAAACTGTCGTTGGAAAGTGTACCGTCGACCATCCCCACCAAGAACGGATGCTTCTCGGTAACAGCAAGCATTGATGCAGCATTGTCCCAGAATTGTTGAGCAGACATTTTCAGATAAGATAAAAGATTAATATTCACAGGGTTGATTGCCCAATGTCAAACAACGATATTATGGTATGTTGATGATATCTTCTCAATCCAAAATGTGTCGTACCCGTACAGTACACGGACGTGTGTTCCATATCACACGTACGTGTACGTTGTTCCATCGGATGGCCACAGGCGCACAACTCCAATCACGTGCTTCGTCAGCTCGTGCGGGTTTGCGAATTTAGTGGAGTCCCGCTCCGCTGCACAGACTTTGATCACTACTCTCGTCTGCTGTACCGCCACGAGCCGCCCATATTTTTCGGCCGAGCATCATTTCAAGTATACCGGTAGTGGTATTTTGGCAATGAAACCATAGGCAAATCATTTTTACGCGGGATAGAGACCTGTACACCTTCCAAAGACAAAAGTATTCTTAATGATTCGAGTCCTTCGAAACGATCGACAGTCACAAGCCAAACGACAGCATGGAAGGATGTTGAAATCTTCGATTGAGAATTTTTAAAATCTAAAGCTTCATAGTTTCATTTATTGTAAGTACTACATGCCTCCAAGATTCGGCCACTCCATTTGGTTGCTCGCCTGGTCCCAGAACATGTGTTCCAGCTTACAGCACATATTAAAATGCTCTTGCATTTCCTTCAACTCCTCCTCAGTTGCAACCTTGCATTCAGCGTCGACAAGCTTAATGAACGCTTTTACTTTTTCTTCAACGTCGTCTCCTCCGTACATGTCAATCCACGCGTCAAATTGTGGTAGGCGATTTGTACTTTGTAAAGAGCAACATGACACGAACGTCAGGTGTTAGTCATATGCTATACAAATGAAATGACGCTTCAAACACTTCAAACTCGTTTTGGTACAAGCGGATCGGCCCCAATGCGGCTTTCTCTGCCCATTCCAATACAAACGTACCATTCACCAAGTCCTTCACGAAGTTTCACCATGCGCTTTCCAACGTGCATGTAAACCCAGTGGCAAGGAAGAAGGGCAGCTAGTCCTTGCTTGTGCGGTCTTGTTGCCACAACGCGCTTCAAGTATGATGTATACAGCAAAGTATGAGGCATTTGCTTTGCTCCCTCTGCTGAGTTGTCCCACTCCTTGAAGAAAGAGCCGTGCAGCATCATTTCCGCTTCTATAGCTCCAATTGCAGAAGCCTGCAATTGCTTGGAGTCTTCTTCGGAGCCTGCAGATTCTGCCAAGCGACGAAAACAGTCGGCAAAATCACGGAGATACAATGCGTCCTGCACGATATAGTACTTGAAACTGTCGTTGGAAAGTGTTCCGTTGACCATCCCCACTAAGAACGGATGCTTCTCGGTAACAGCTAGCATCGATGCAGCATTGTCCCAAAGTTGCTGAGCAGACATTTGCAGATAAGATTTAAAAAATTATATTCGCCGGGTTGGTTGCCCAATGTCAGACAATAATATTGTGGTAGGTTGATAATATCTTCTCAATCCAAAATGTGTCGTACCCGCACACGTACGTTGTTCCATCGGATCCTCATCGAATGGCCACAGGCGCACAACTCCAATCACGTGCTTCGTCACCTGATGCGGGTTTGCGATTTGATTCACGCCCTGGAGTCCCGTTCCTATCACTACTCGTCTACCTGTACCGGTACTGATAGCGGTATTATACTTTGTGATCTATCAGGTAGGCTGCTCCCGACACAATCAGCGAATTGCCTATATAGCCGATTCCGCTTTCAGGAATCTGCCGATGTGTATGAGTTATATACTGCCGAATGTCCAACACAATTTCGAAATTAGCCACTATTTTGGAATAGTAACGAACTAGCTAGTAATGCAAAACAATAATAATGGCGATCACGATGAACTCGTCGTCAGTATACCAGACGGTTTGTCACAGCCGTCGAAATCTCGAAACTTTTTTCGTCTCAATTGAGAAGCTTCAGTATGCTCATCATTCCTTCTATTCCGAGGATACACTGAAGAATGTGCGGGAAAATGGCTAATCTCATTATGGATCCAAAACGACAAGTTTTGAAGTAGAATTGCAAGCGGTGAAATAATTGAATCTCATAAGAAATTGGGAATTGTTGAAACTGCAACAGGAGCAAAATCAGCTTTCGTTTCGAAGTCGTCCGATACTCGATACCAGAAGAAACTGCTGAATTTGATATTGACATAAATGCAATGGCATAGGAAATGAGGAGTATGACTACCGCTTTGGTCTTTCGAGGAACCTATGAGGGTTGGGATTATGCCAAAAAATTTAATGAGGAGAAGCTTCCAGATGAATGTTCTGACATTGAAAGGATGTTGAAATCGTCGATTCATAATTTTTCACAATTCGAAGCTTCAAAGTTCATTTATTGTAATTACTAAATGCCTCCAAGATTCGGCCACTCCATTTGGTTGCTCGCCTGGTCCCAGAACATGTGTTCCAACTTACAGCACATATTGAAGTGTTCCTCCATTTCCTTCAACTCATCCGCAGTTGCAACCTTGCATTCAGCGTCGACAAGCTTAATGTACGCTTTTACTTTTCCTTCAACGTCGTCTCCTCCGTACATGTCAATCCACGCGTCAAATTGTGGTGGGCGATTAATGCTTTACATGTTAAGAGCAACAACATGACACGAACGTCAGGTGTTAGCCATATACAAATGAAATGACGCTTCAAATAGTTCAAAGATGTCTTGATACAAGCGAATCGGTCCCACTGCGTACATGTCTGCGCAATCCGCCAGTACAAACGTACCATTCACCAAGTCCCTCACGAAGTTTCAGCAAGCACTTTCTTCCAACGTGCATGTAAACCCAGTGGCAAGGAAGAAGGGCAGCTAGTCCTTGTTTGTGCGATCTAGTAGCCACGACGCGCTTCAAGTATGATGTATACAGCAAAGTATGAGGCATTTGCTCTGCTCCCTCTGCTGAGATGATGTCCCACTCCTTGAACAGCGAGTTGTGCAGCATCATTTCCGCTTCTATAGCTCCAATTGCGGAAGCCTGCAATTGCTTGGAGTCTTCTTCGGAGCCTGCAGATTCTGCCAGGCGACGAAGGCAGTAGGCAAAGTCACGAACAAGATACAATGCATCCTGTACGATATAGTGCTTAAAACTGTCGTTGGAAAGTGTTCCGTCGACCATTCCCACCAAAAACGGATGCTTCTCGGTAGCAGCGAGCATCGATGCAGCACTGTCCCAAAGTTGCTGAGCAGACATTTGCAGATGAGTTTCAAAGATTTATATCAGACAACAATATTATTGGTACGTTCTCAATCGAAAAATGTTTCCCACCGTCAGGCCATCGGATCCCCATCAAATGGCCTCAGGCGCACAACTCCAAGCATGTGCTTCGTCAGCTGAGATCCAGGTTTGCGTTTTGAGTCACGCGCTAAACACGCGCCGAAGTCCCGTTGCATAGACTTTTGATCACTACAGCACCTGGTACTTGTCTACCACCACGAGCCGCGTAGTCCTCCTGCGACCCTCAATTTTCTGCTCTTCCACCAGCACTAGTAGTGGTGCCATCAGGTCCACTTGTTGTTGTGTCGCTATCGTAGCAGAATAGTTGGTTGGTGGCCCGTGTCCTTCACCACGACCACGTTCCTCAGCACGATACAAGGAGATCTGGAAGCAACAACACTCTCTTCTTCCCCCTCCTCATCCTCCTGGTGCACTCGATGATGATACTGGTAGTATTAGTACTACGAGCACTTCATGTTTTCAACTGCGATATTCTTGATTTTGTGAGGTAAACCAAATATTATCTTCTCATGAACGTACCGATAGCCAAGTGGCTATGATTGCAAGAATTGTTCATGACGATTTGCTCGCTACCGGTAAGACCATGAAGTGAAAAAGCGTAACTGCAGTGTTCTTGTCGAGGTTTCTAGGGGTAGATAAAGAAGAAGTATTCGCTTAAATTACGACATGCCGCCAAGGAGGTTTGGCCACTCCATTCATGTGCTCGCATGGTCCCAGAACAGGTGTTACAACTCACAGCACTTATTGAAGTGCAATTGCATTTCCTTCCACTCCTCCTCAGTTTTAACCTTGCATGCAGGTGTCAGCAATAATAAACTCAGTGTATAGGTACTCCTTTAGTTCTATCCTTGTCACTAGCGGGCGTCGTGAGGAGTACATGCGGGCACACCTGGCACATTTCCCGCGCACGTTTTCGGTTGGGATGCATGATGTGATGAAGGTAAAAGAACAGAGGGCACTATGAAAGCATCGATGAAATAGAAGCTGCAGTCGTTATAGCTAGAGGAACATATTTTGCCGTGAACTATGTCTTCTTCACTGGATAAAAGACCTTGAGAGCACGTGTTTTTTGATGAGCAATCATGATGAGAGGGGGCGGAGGAGTGAGTCCGATCAGCCGCTGAAATCGAATCACAGCACAAGCGTATGGTTGGATCCAGAAATCGTCGTTTCCCGAAAGCTTGAAACTCATGACCCTAGCAGTAATCCCCAATCCCTATTCAAATAATCTATGCAGATTTTCCTTCGTTCCTTCATTTATTTACCCTTTTGAGATTCCCAGCATGGATTACAACGCCCTGACCATCTTCCAAATCTACTCCCCACTTGCCCATTTCCGGAAAGTACTCTCCCAATGTTCCCTTTTGACCAACACTGGTCCATTTCCCACAGTTTCCTGCCAAAACTTCAATGACATCTCCTACCTTTAGAGGCGGATGATTCTTATAATTGATATCTTCGTCCAATGCTTCTCGTCGTTCCATCAACGGAACCCAGGCCCCTACTGGCAATCCCCGTCATGAGATCACGCGTCACACCCAGAATTTCCATGGCTTCCTCACGGTCGCCGCGACATTCTGGAGGAATCAAATGTAGGGGCATGCTTGCCTTCCACTCGTTCCAAAGATCTTGTTTGCGTTCTTTTCCCATGACCCATCTGCCTGCAGCTGGACCCTGATCTTGTTTGGCCATCAATTTGGCTCCCTGATTGACGCATGCTTTGCATTCTACTTTGTGTTCCTTCCAATTTGCTACTTGGCACTCTTTGGAGCAATAACATGCCTGGTGGCATCTAGAGCAGTCCTTGAGCTTCATGGGATCTGTGTTGGGGTTGGGACAAGCTGGATTCCGACATTCTCGTTGGACCAGTCGCGGGTATTGTTCTTCGATTGATGCCATTGTTATTACTATAGGTATGTCAAGGGCTGTGTTTTATTGGTAGGATATCGATCGTTTGCATTGATTTGATTTGATTTGATTTGATTGATTGGATGGATTGGGTTGGGTTGGGTTGGGTTGGGTTGGGTTGGGTTGGGTTGGGTTGGGTTGGGTTGTTTTTCGATCGTATTTGCGGTTTGCGATCTTATTTGTGGGCTGCTGGCAGTTGGACAGACGACCATGTATTGGTACCAGGTAGGTGGTAACAACCGAATTCGAATTCAGAACCTTGAAACGAATTTGCACCGCTTTGCTTTTGATCGATGAGATCGAAAAGAGATCGAAAAGATTTGAACTAATTTTAAATCTAATTTTTGGCCATGGTAAGAGTCGTTGTTGTTCGAGTGGCCAAATTTTTTCTCATGGTGTTTTGCTGGAAATGTGAGTGGATTCCTTCGAATAAATCCACTCTTGCAACCTCTTCCGTTGCCTCTAAGTAAAGCCAATGTGAAAACCGATTTGAAATGTCCGTTCCCTCCAAAAAAAGCGTATGTAATTCTTTTCTGGTCGTGTGAGGACGTCTTGCTGGCTTTTGATCCTAATCCAAAAAAATAATCCACCCGCGACGACTTCCAACCCACATCCAATGCATTGCGCGCTCATTGAGTTCGAGTCGACGACTCCCTCTCCTCTTATCTTGACCCGAAAGAATTTCATCTATTCAACCTGTGGAAGGTGTACAGTAGTAGATAGATTCCTCTAATCTAACATGACCATGGCCACAATGGACTATCGCAATCATGTCAACATGAATCCCAAGAGTCCCGATCGCAAGTTGCCAGTCCAATCCATGATCATCACTCCCGATCGAACTGTGACCACCACCGAGTCGAATCTTTCCGAAACCAGCAACAATAACATGGGTCTTGGCCAAGAGGTTGACGGTTTGATTACTGTAGTCAAGCATTATGTGCAAGCTTCCAAGGGATATTCGCCCACTCGTAGGGAGTTTGAACGCACCATGGAGGCCATTGAAGCCAGAGCTGAGGAAGAAGAAGCCTTGGCTCGACAACACGAAGCCGAGATTGCTCGACGCGAAGCGGAAAAAGCCGCACAGGAAGTTGGTTTCATGGGCAGTCTGTATAGTACATTCTCTTTTGCTTCGGAAGATCCATCTTCTGTTCAACACTCTACCACGGCTTCGCAACGGGGGACTGTTGTCCATCAAATGCTCAAGCGACTGGTGGTCAAGGAGTTGCAGTCTAGAAGAGACAAGAGTGCCACTGTTATTCAATCCACAGTCAGACGAGTTCTGGCGCAAAAACGAAAACAAGAGATGCGTGTCATTGCGGTGGAACGCATGCGAGCACTAAAAGAACTAGAAAGCCAGCAGAAATACGAAGAGTTCAGTCGCAAGGCTGCGGCTCGTGACTACGAGAGGAATGCCAATTCTAGTCTAGTGGACGATGAAGAAGTCGCGGGGGAAATTAAAACTTCGAAATTTTCCAAAATGAAGACTGCCCTCAAGACCTTGAAAAAGAACAAGAAGGCCAAGAGCAAGAACAAGAAAACGGTCTCGAAAGCACCACTACTGCCATCCATGCCCGAATCGTCTCCTCATGGGGGAGAAGACGCCAACGACATGCCAATTCAGGAAAACTCGAGTCGCAAGAACAAGTTTTGGAACAAGGTCAAGAAACTAAAGGTCAAGAGAAACAAGAAAAAGAAGAAGAAGAGGCGATCCTTGCGGTATCCATCCAGAAATGCTCCCATCCTCGATGGTATTGTGGAAGAGGGTGAGGAGCCAGCAGGTGTCTTTGAACCAGCACCAGCACCGGAACCACGTCGAATGACAGTCACCATTACCACTACTGACGATAGTATTCCAACCCCGGAAGCCGAGGCAGAAGCCTTGGAATATCATCGACAAAGGTCAAGGGGAAGGGGCGTTCCTGAGGATGCTGCTACGGAAGCAGCCTCCTCGTATCAATCACATGGGGACCCATCCACCATGCGGTCGTCACTTCCATCCGGCAATCATTTTGGCGGCAGCGGCAACTGGAACAGTTTTGTGTTGGCAGACGATGCCACCAGCATGACGTCTGGAAGAACCCGACCACTCCTCGATTCTTGGTTCAATGGGTTCATGTTTGACAAGGAGACTTTGCGGGAATGCGATGACGATGCCATTGAAGAAATGGTCGAATTGGCATTTACCGACAGGGAACTTCAAAATGATTTGAAGATTATTCCAGAAATGAATTGGACGGAAGACGATTGGGCCGATACCAAGGAATCTTTGTTTCGTTGTTCGCAAGATCATATTGAAGAAGTCACATATCAAACGAAGCGGTTTGTATCGAATGAAGTGACTCTGTGAGATGGATTGATCCATTCACTCATTCGTTCATTTTTTGATTCATTCATTTTTTGATTATAAAAATATTCTATAGAAGAATGGATAGAAAAAGCAAAGTATACTACAAGCTTTGAATCGGATTGGAGGCAAGTTTGGGGTTGCAGCTTGCTGACTCGTGGTCGATCCATTCGATCAAAGCCTTTCTTACGAGTTCTTCACACACAATTCTCGGGACACCAACACTTTCATGCAACGACAACAACAACAACATCTAATTGTAACACTAATTCCTCTGTTTTGTATGCTTCTTACTTCTGTCCGAGCGTTTACTGTCAACAACAACCATTGGACAATGAAGACTCGATCGGCAGCCACCGCCACTGTCGTTGCCTCCGCCAAGAAGACAGCAGCAGCCAAGAAGAAGAATCAAACCACCAAAAAGCCAAAGGTTGCCATACCAACCGTCACTAAATCAACCATGTCTTCATGTGAGGACGATAAACCATGGTTTCACATTTTTACCAAAGGAGATGAAGAGTACAATACTTACATGGCGAACGAATGGGGCTTTGAAAAGGTGCGCTGATGATTGACTGATTTTTTTCCCTCCGACCAACTATTTTCCGTTGCAACTGTATCTCACCACACTATATTCATCTCTCTTCTACTGCCACTATTATTACTATAAGAGAGGAGATCAAGCCCTCTTTGAAAAGATTTCTCTAGAAGGCGCCCAATCCGGTCTCTCTTGGTTGACCGTCCTCCGCAAACGAGACGCCTATCGCCGTGTGTTTTTTGGATTTGATGTCGATAGGGTGGCCAAGATGACCGAACAGGATGTGGAACGAATCTTGAACGAACAAGATGCTGAAAATACTCGCAACATTATTGTCCGTCACCGCGGCAAGGTGGAGTCAGTGATTAACAATGCCAAGTGCATTCAAAAACTCGTGCTTGACTCCTCGAACGACGAGGATGAAAAGAAGAACAATATGCCAACGCATGGTGTATTCGATGAACTCCTTTGGACTTTCGTCAATGACAAGCCCATTTTGAATGTATCCTGGAAGGGTGGGGATGGTCTTAAAGATGCTCCTACTCAAACCCAAGAAAGCAAGGACATGAGCAAGAAATTGAAACAATTGGGATTCCGATTCGTCGGACCTACCACTTGTTATGCCATGATGCAGAGCGTTGGAATGGTCTTGGATCATCCGGTTGGTAGTAAGGAGTGGAAGGAAGCCAAGGAAAGATTGGAGAAGCGCAAGGGAGGATACCAAGAACGTTAATGTGTATATTAGTGGTAACTAGTATTGATCTACCTATTTACCTGTGATTGCATTGAATGCAGCCGAAACCTTTTCTCTGAATAGTATCAGCTGAACCATAAATGAGTGAATCACAACATAAATGGATATATTTAAGAACCTAATGGTACAACTACTAGTTTAACTGGCTGGTGATTGACTCTGAGGCAATTAGAATAATGACACTCTCTTCTTGGCACTGTCTCGCTTCCACTTTGGCATAGCATCAAATTCCGACTTGGGCATGTTGAAACAGGCTTCAAAATCAGAGGGCGACAAGTATTGTTCTCGTTGCTTGTCATCGATTCCAGGTACAGATTTCGTTTGCAGAGCTTCGAGCGGGTAATACTCACCATCATTTTCTTCAATAGTCGATTCTTGCTTGGTTCTTGGTGGGGTGCTGGCAACGTCACTGTTGGATCCATTCAAAACATCATCCAATGATTCTTCCGCTTCGCTTGGAGGAGCACCCAAAGCACTGCCGGCAGTGGCAGAAGAAATGTTGGCGGCCAAGACAGTACCCATGGCACTATCCACATCGTTTCCATCTTGCGAACGGACGGACGACAGTGTTGGTGGTTTGACAGCAGCAGCTTCTTTTGGTTCTTGGAAGGTCACTCTTGACGTACGAGAACCAACCTCGTCCTTGCTGCTGGCATCATCCTTGGCTTGAGTATCATCGTAGCGACGATATGATCTGGATGGTTCATCGTCTTGCAGAGCTCTTCCCAAAGAATCATCTTGGGTATTTGCAGAAAAGCGAGAAGCGTCATCCTTGTAGGTTCCTCTTGATCCTCTTGAGTATCTGGAGGTGTCATCGTAGGTTCCTCGGGAAGTTCTTGAATAAGAACCATCATCATCAGTATAATCACCAGTATCCATTGTGTAGTTGCCTCTGGAATCCACGGTACCATCCAAAGTGCCATCTCCATCAAGAGTATTATCGTCACCCACGGTGTGCGTGTCCTTGGTGTTGACAGACAGTTGATCATTCATTTCGTCGGCAAATCCAGCCTGAATGTCACCCACACAAGCGGTAGCCGCGGAATAAGCAGCCAAGGCGGCCAATCCAATGGTAATGGCCGCTTCATCCACCACTTCCCGTGCCTTTTCAAAGGCCTTTTCAGAATCAAAGGGACGTTCCTTCTCTTCTTCTGGTTCTGTCTCCTCCTTCTTTTCTTCTTCAGGAAGGGTTGCAAGATCAGAAGTTGCCGCATCAGCATCAGCTGCGGCGGCATCTCCTTCCACAATCACCCTGTCAGTGGCTTCTCCTTCTTCCGCCACAGCGACTGGCGATGGATCTTCGGAAGCAGTACCTTGTTCTTCCGCCTCAACGATAGGCGGTTGAAATTCTTCCGATTCGTTTTCTTCCGTACCTTCGAATGACACTTCCACGGCGCCATCGCCACGAGTCTTGAAGTCGAGGGAGGCTTCATCCTGTTCCAAATCATTCATAATGTCATCCGCAGAAGCAGCTGGTTGCAGCTCTTCTTCTTCTTGTTCAGGCTCTGCAGTAGCTGCTTCTTGCTCTGGTTCAGGAGCAGGAGCTTCCTCTTGAGCAGGTTGTTCCTCTTCAAATTGCCACTTTTCATAAGTAGCAGCGGCAAAAGGATCCTCTTCAAAGGGAGTCCAAGCTGGATCTTCGGAAGTTTGTGCCGTGGTAGGGACAGAATCTTGCTCAAATTCTTGCTGTTGCTGTTGTTGCAACGCCATGAGCTCTGCTTCTTCTTCATCTTCCAAAGCATCCAAATCCACAGGAGAACTGGCGAAATCGTCAGAAGCAGCACTAGCATTGTTGTTGGCAAGAATCGAAATCTCTTTCGGTTGTGGTTCTTCCCGAGAGGAATCTTGCGGCTCTTCATCTACCGTGTCAATGGTTTCATTCAAAGACCGATCTGCCTTTTCTACCGAAGGGGGCGCTTCTTCCTCCTTCTTCTCTTCTTCGGCTTCCAATTCGGCTTGACGTTGCCTCAACGCTTCCGCGGCTCTCTTGCGTTCGACCACTTCAGCAGCCTCTCGCTCTTGTTTGGCCTTGAGCAAAGCCTGCTGTTGCTTTTTCTTCTTTTTGGATTTGCCAAAGAGACCCATCTTGTTTGGCTTCTATTGTCCTTTGATAATACAGACAATGACTGTTCGGGTAGTGGATTGTCCTGAGTAGTTGAGGTGCAAATTTTAGAGCACCACAAAGTGTGAGTTGCGAGCGGGCATTTACATCATATACAGTTTTGTATAAAATACATTCCCCCAAATCAGACAGTTGAATAGATCACCCGCCAACCAAAGCGCACCTCCACCGAAAACAAGACCAATGAACTTTCGGCATGTCAAGGGTGCGCGACAAGCAAGCCCAGCTACTCCCAATGAGGTGACGACGCCCGCTCGTGACTTTTTCCCGTCGTGGAAGAGATCATGATGGTGGTGCGATGTGTGCTTTGGAAAACCGCAACGAGAACACTGCTTTCACGGTTTCGCATCATGCATGGGTTTCCCCCGATTCCTACTACAACAACGCAATGTTCGGGTTGCATCCTGTTTCGCGCCATTTGACTAATCCTAGATTGATCTTGCCTGCAATCACAGTTGGTTACGCTTAATCCCATTATGTGTCTCGGCCTCTTGACAGGATACGGTTTGGTGGATTCACCTCACAAAATCAACAATCGAACAAAACATGAAATACTCTGCAATCGCAATCTTGGTCGTGTCGCGTAGCACAGTCCTTGCATCCAATACGTATCCCGTGACGGACACGGAGCAACTATTCTGCTACGATAGCGACTCAACAGCAAGTGGAACTGGTGGAACAACTGGTGATGATACTCCTGACGATACTCCTAATGAAGTTAGTCCAGGCACTGTAGATCCCGGTCCAGAAACGGGGGATCAAGGAACAGGAGGACAAGATGGTAGTCAATTTCTACCAGCACCAGGAGGTCTCCGTCCCCGTCCAAATCGTCCAAGTCGACCTCGTGATGGTGGTGGTAGACGACACCTGGACGAAATCACATGTGCTGGTACTGGCCAAGATGCCGAGTACACAACACTATCGCAAAGCTTTCAAAACAATGGCGATGGTACCATTTCTGATCTCAATACCGGCCTCATGTGGACCGAAGACGTCTATGGAGATGGCTTGACGTATGAACAAGTGGAGAATGAAGTTACGATCTTTAGCTTGGGAGGATACTCGGATTGGAGAGTTCCTACCATCAAGGAACTCTATACTCTCAGTGAGTTCAATGGACAAACGGGAACTAGCCAAGATACCAACATTCCCTACATTGATACGGACTATTTCAACGTCAAGTACGGAACGACACGATACATTGATGGACAGCTTTGGTCGTCCAATCAATACACGGGTGTCATCTTTGACAATCCCAACTCTGAATGCAACTTTGGCTTCAACTCGATTGATGGGCGCATCAAGTGTTATGGTCGGACTTCCACCAAATTGTATGTCCGCTACGTCCGTGGCAATACTAATGTTGGTACCAATCTCTTTTCCGTGAGTGGACTCAGCAGAGATATCATTGTGGATGCCGCTACTGGATTGGAATGGACTCGAGGAGACAGTGGCAGTGGACTTGACTGGGAAGAATCATTGAGCTACTGCAATGATTTGGAGCTGGGTGGATATAACGACTGGAAACTTCCCGATGCCCATCAATTGCAATCCATTGTGGACTACAATCGTAGTCCGGATGCTACTGGAACACCAGCGATTGATCCATTGTTTGAATCGACTCAAATCACCAATGAGGCTGGAGCCGTGGACTTTGGGTGGTACTGGACTAGTACAACACATTTGGATGGAAAACCATTGGGATCCAATGCGATCTACATTGCATTTGGTCGAGCCACTGGTTATTTTGAAGCACCGAATGGAACAGTGATTGGATCAGTCGATGTTCACGGAGCTGGAGCACAGAGGTCGGATCCGAAGGTAGGACCCGTACCAGATCCCAACTACTTTGGACCACAAGGAGACTATCGTCGTGTGTACAACGTAAGTCGACACTGGGCGCATGTTTGATTGAATGGCATGGTTATGGCTGGAATCGCATTGTTCTAATGACTATTTCTTTGAATTTGTAGTTTGCTCGATGTGTACGCGGTTCTTCGAGCGCATCACCAGATGTGTAGACCCTCCGGGCATTATGAAGTACATGTTGAATCTTGGAAGGGTTGGAATCTCGAAGAATTGTGATGCGTGATAGATGCATGATACATACATTTGAACATTACACGAGGTACCGCCTACACTAAAGTGCGACAAGAAGATATCTGCTATTGCAGGAAAGATAAAATATAATCTATGATGGATTAATAAGGACTTTAGGATATTCGAACCTTAGTCAAAGAAATAGAGCAGAGATCGACGTCCTGAGTGTGGGTACAGTAGACCTACCGGTACACTCTGGGTCTTGGGTACCAAGGTACCGGTAGACTGTATCCAAAAACTCGAAAATGACGTGTGTCAGTCGTGGGAGTCATCTCTGGCAAAAAAATCCTACACAAATTTACGTAGAAGCTGTGACCGCCTTTTGGAATTGCGTTCGAACGTTGGAGGACGACGAACACCAGCAATGCTGCGGGAAGATCCACGACCTACAGTTGAAAGTTGAGACATCTCCCACCAAACGACTTTACTACACTCTCTCGAGTGTCATCAATAGACGAACTCCCTGAAAGTTCAGTGCATGCAAGCATTGATTCCAATTGTGTTAAACGCGGAAGAACAAGGCAATTCACCAACACCAGCACGACTCTCCGAGAATACCAGTAATACTACCAGCAGCATGGCCGAAAAAACAAAAGCAAAGGCAGTCGACCCAGCAAACTTGTCTGCCCAAGAAGCCAAAGCCGTTGCCGAAGCTACCGCGTCTGCAGACCGTTCCTTCACTCCCAGTCCTGCCCTTTTGAATAGCAAATCTCCTACTGCCTTGTTGGATCAAGTCGATGGACCATCTCTTGTCAATTACAGTGATACTGAAAGTGTCTATGTCGGTTCCTCGGTTCCAATCTCAGCAGGTGGCTCTTTGACTGTGCCCATTCAAGTGAATACTCCTGGATCCATTGTCGAGTACGCCGCAGAGAACAAGTATCATGATATTGGATTTGGAATCACTGCTGAACGTGAAGAAGGAATTACCGTAGTACAGGTACGTGTGAAAGAGAAGCGCCATTTTGCTTTTGGTGATGGAACGTTTCATTTGCCATATGATTATTTTGCAAACGGCAGCAACCATGATATCCTGCTATGCAGTCTCTCAACTTTTTTCTTCTTTTCCTTCTCACTTTTGTTCTTACCCATCTTGTCCTCTGAATATCCATGACAGGAAATGTCACGATGCGATGCCAGTGAAGTCCCCATGTTGGGAAAATTCTTGGTGGGCACTGTCCCCTGCTTGTTGCAGTTCAAGTTTGACAATGAGTATTCCTGGATGAGAGAAAAAGTGGTCACCTACAAGGTTACCATTACTCCCCCAAGCAAGGAAACCCTCATTTCGGGACGACGACGACGCGCCGAAGCCTGCAAACGGGCAGTCGAAGAAGATCTCAAAAGTGCGGATGATCGATTGAACAAGGCTCAAGACCAAAAGGCCAGCGTGCAAAAGGAATTGGAGGAACTGAAGAGACAACTAGAACTAAAGCAAAAGTCACTTAAGGTGGTCGAAACGGAAGAGAAGTGGCTCAAAGAACGAGTCGCTCTTCGTAAGGATCAGCACAAACTCTTGCAACAGCGTATGGATCAAGGGTGGGATGATGAAGCTGATGTCAAGACCGCAAAACAAGCACCCAAGAAGAAGTAAAACTGATTGATTCCTGGGCGTGACAACATGATGAACATAGTATAATTGTCCTGAATGTTTTGTGTTACTATTTTTTACAAATCCCTTGTACTTCCATTGTGTTGTGTGAGATGTTTGGATTACAAAATACTGAGAGACGTGTTCTGCAAATGAGTACAGTACCTAACTGCGATGCAATATGAAGCATTTTTCAAGAATGAGGTACCTTTGAATGCATTGTGTGAATAGATGAGGCTGCAAGGTAGTGTTGTGTCGGTTACTTGCTGCAATAGACTTATTATCTTCTTGCTCTTCCTCTCATACAAATTCTCTCAGCAGTGAAACGAAATTGGGATTGTTTTTTTTCGTAGACGTAATCCTGGATTGATGCAATTCTCAACTCGGGCGGGTTCTCCAAAGCGGGAACAACAACACCATATTGCTTAAAATCCAATTCCAAAACCAGTTCGTTTTTTCTTACACCAAGAGAAAGGCAACCTTCGTTCAGTTTGAGATCAAAGTAGTGACGATGGTCATCAAGGGTTGTCTTTAAGGCAAATCCCATTGATTCAAAATACCTCAAATCTGACGTTGTAACAGGTTTTATTCACATTTGGTTCCCCCAATGCGCTCTTTGGCACGTCTTCGAGCAATAATAGACGTGTTTGCAACAACCACAGTATTTTAGTTACCCTTTGAGCAGCAGTCTGGTGGAGACGTCCTCGTTTTCACCATAGCAGATGCAATACCCTGCAGCCTCTTCTCGACTTGTGATGGCATGCCACTTCTGCTTCCATCCCTACCATTTAGTATGGCCTGCAATGTGTCACCACACAGCTCGTCTTTCTGGAATCTTTCGTATAGAAATGGAGCCGAAACTTTGAGCGAGTATCGCATGTCGAGCAACATCTCGTTCCAATCTGTTGACTCTGGGTCGGGGAATGGAACTGTCGCACACCGGAGAAAGTCTTCGAGAAAACCAGTCACCTCCAGCTTCTCGAAGGACTCACTCATGAAAACTCGTATCGGTTTTCCACTCGGCAGCGGCCACCAGCTGCAAGATTAGCAGTAGGGGCCTGATGCTGGAACAGGAACAGAATAGTAGAGTCTAGAAGCATCCCTGCCTCCTTCACGTCGCCAAATTGTACCCCGCTTTTGTTGGTGGTTAGCCGTTTGATCCTCGATAATATAGTCCATCCAGCACTGAATTTCGGACTGTGGAATCTTCTCACGAAAGAGTTTTTCGTCCGCTAGTCCGGCAAGAAAATCAAAGATCGATGACATCTGTTTGGATTTGATTCTCAAGTTCATCCTTCCATTATTGCTTCGGAACAAGGTGAGTTGCTTACAGTCTAGGAAAAATATTTGAAGTCATCAGCTTGTTGTAGAAGGGCATTTGCTCCTTCCTTCGTAGCAATGTCTACTCGGGTACCATTGGACGAGCTAAGATAATGGTTTTCATTACATGTACAGTAGCATTCCTGTTCATTGTGCGGCGTTCTTTCTTCCTTGTTTGATGGATTTGGTACAATGGAGAAAAAGTGAAATGGGAATGATCGAAAAACCGAATGTGAGGTTGATTGATTCATTCTATCGTTAATTGATTCATTCATTCATACAGATCGACCAATCTTCATACCTTTTGAGATCAATATTCAGTTCTATCGGGCTGCTCCAATGAATGAAGATACAACAGTGCAATCCGCTAAAAAATGTGAGTCGAAATATTTGAATTTCTTTGTTGTGCTCTACAGGAATTTGATTTTTAGTCATGTGGGTCGTATGCACGAACGCGCTTGATCCAAAATCCGAAAGAAAACACATCAAGATCTTTTTTTACTACTGGTGTCTCGGGCATGCCTCCAGTTCATTCGCAGCACATATCTGTCTTTAAATTATAGCAATGCAGCCTTGGTCATTGTTTCTTCTGAGCATTTCTCTCCCATCTCTGATTGTCTCGGTCCCTCTTTGGTCGGATGTCTGTCAAGCAGATCATCCGGCGTTTGATCTCCCATTTTGCGATTCTCAACTCAGTTTGAGCGAACGGGTCGATGATTACGTACAAAGGATACCAGCCGAGCAACAAGTTGCCATGATGGGACACGCAGCAAAGGAGTACGCTCCGCTAGGGATACCTCCATATCAATGGTGGAGCGAGGGCCTTCACGGCCCGAAGGAGCCATGCGTCGAGTACGAGGGGCAACAGAAATGTCCCACTAGTTTTCCTTGTCCATCTGCCTTGGGCAACACGTTCAACACTTCTCTTTTCTATGACATTGGAGCTGCCATTGGTACCGAAGGAAAAGCGATTTCGCAAATAAGGCCGCACGACATGAAAATTGGGGATGGGTTGACATATTGGAGTCCAAATGTGAATCTCCAGAGAGACCCCAGATGGGGGCGGAACCAAGAAGGTACAGTGTGGTCTCGATTTTGTTGACACTGAATCCGCCCATTCTCAAACCTACACTAACTACTTCATTTCAGCTCCAGGAGAAGATCCCTTTCTGACGTCGGTGTATGCTAGGAACTTTGTAACTGCGCTACAAAATACGTCGAATGGCGAGGACTCACGAGACGATGCACCACTTCGAGTTGCAGCATGCTGTAAACATTTTATCGCAAATAGCTTAGAGAATTGGCACAATCACACCCGACACAATTTCGACGCTCAAATCTCGGACGAAGATCTACACGACTACTACTTTCGACCCTTCCAAGAATGCGTGCAAGCCAAAGCGGCTGGCGTCATGTGCAGTTACAACGCCTTGAATGGAATCCCCACGTGCCTAGATAAAAATCTGTTGAATCAGACTCTACGACAGTCATGGGGCTTTGATGGATATTTGGTGACTGACTGTGGGGCGCTACAAGACACAATCACTGGGCACAAAGCGGCGAAAGATCCTGAAGAAGCGTCTTCAATGGCAAAAGCAGCGACCGTCGATGTGAATTGTGGGGATACCTTTGAGAAAGGGCTTCTCCAGGCTTTTCAGAATGGTGACGTATCAACTTCGATCATCCATTCCTCCTTTCGAAGACTTGCAAAGATTCAATTTCGGCTAGGAATGTTCGATGCTCTCAAAAAGTACGATCCGCAACAGGACATTGAGTTGGTGGGGTCACACGGGAACCTGGCTATCGAAGCCGCCCTCCAGAGCATCGTCCTCTTGAAAAATAAGAACAAGATATTGCCTCTAAATATTGATCAGAAAGTGGTCATGATCGGGCCTCATGTATTTGGACGGGAAGTCTTTCTCAGCAGCTACCACGGTGACGCCTGCGCATCAAACTCGACGAAGCAAAAGTCTTCTTATGCTTGTATCGAGTCTCCCGTAGAAGCCCTCTCCAAGATTTCAGACCATCCAATCGAGGCTACAATGGGATGCAAGGTGGCTGACACGGACCTGAACGAGATTGACAAAGCCGTTGATCTTGCCAAGACATCAGATGTGGTTGTCCTCCTGCTTGGATTGGATCAGACACAAGAAAGAGAAGAGCGCGATAGGAATGAAACGACGTTGCCCGGTCTCCAACGACAACTGGTTCGTTCCATTTTGGATGTGGCAGCCGAAAAGACGATAATTGTACTTGTTCACGGCGGTGCCATGTCTCTGGGAGAAGACACAATCAACAGAAGTGGAGCCATTCTATCCGCATCCTATGGAGGCCAGTTTGCCTCTAGAGCACTTGCCCAAGTACTCTTTGGCTTGTACAATCCAACCGGCAAACTCTCCTCGACCATGTACCCATCGAGTTATGTGGATGATATTCCACTTACGGAAATGGGCATGGCCGTAGGTGTGGGACGAACTCACATGTTCTACCGAGGCAAGCCCGAATTTTCGTTTGGTCATGGCCTCTCGTATAGTTTGTGGAGTCTATCGTGGACTTGCAACGCAAGCAATGCCACCACCACTAATAGGAATGATGATGATGATGAGGATTGTTCTTCCATTTCGATTGAAAAACTTGATTCACCCATGACCGTGGGAGTCAACGTAACCAACATGGGGCCAATGGCAGGCAGCCAGACTGTGCTATTGCTTTGGCGACCATCAAAAGATGGGAATCATCGCATACGGCAAAAGCTAATTGGATTTCAAGGAACAACGTCCAGGCTGAATGTGGGAGAATCTGAAATTCTAAGCTTTCCAATAGAACCCTCGGCTTTTCTGATATGGGACACCAATACAGGAAGCAATAAGGTTGTCGCAGGAACGTACCAGATTGAAGCTCTAGCGGCGAACACTACTATTTCAATGTTGGGGTATGTTCTTTCGGGCAATGGAGAAGGGCCCATCCGCATGGAAGTTGCCTAAGCAAGGTTGCTGTTTGTATTGGTCTTGGATAGTAGCATATTTTGTGTTATCATTGGGTTTTTTCTATATTTTAAAAATATTAGAACCATTCGCCTCCTAATCACTGGCACTGGCAACCTTTTCCAAACTCTCTCCTTGTTCCACAGCCGCAGTCGCAGCAGTATCTTCTTCATTGTTGCTTCCATACATGGTATCGGCCCATCGTTGCAAGACTTGAGCTTGATACTCGACATCTTGAGATCTTAGACTTGGTGCTTCTTCCTTGGCGGCAATCACTTGTTGTCGCTTCCAGTGACGCTTTTCCATCCGACGTTCGTGGGCCGCTGCAATTTGGGCCTTGTATTTGGAACGAATCTCTCGTACCAGCTGCCATCGATTTTCTTGCTTTTGCAAGTTGCGAGTCCCTCGCTTACCGGCTCGTTCTGGCACGGCGGCATAGGCTTGTTCCAAAAGTCGTTCGGTTTCTTCTTGGGAGTACCGAATGGCCGGGAACTTTTCGTCCGTATTGACGGTAACATCTTGCGATTCTTGTAGTTTCGCCAGTTCCATTTCCTTGCGACGACGAGCTTGCTTACCACCTCTTCCCTTTTTCAAGACAGTAGCCGTAGTGACTTGACCAGTTTGGAAACCATCGACGGAAATGCTTTGCTGAAATTTGACCCACTCTTGTTGTTGCAAGAATGGTTGATTTGCGTCCTCCGTCTTGGATTGATCATTGTCCTGCTCTTCTACTGATTTGGCCTGTTTTATTTTAATTTTTAAAAAAGCGCGTCGCAGGATAGAGAGAGAGAGACAAGCAAGTGTGAGATATGCGATTGAAACATTCAATGAGTGTTTGTGACACCAAACCAAAACTGCATTTGTCGTTTGCGTACCGGCTTGCTAAGATTCTTCTTTTTCTTGGCTTGGATTTTGAGACGCTTGACATTCTTGGCATCAATGGTCTTGCGATTGGTCGCAAAGGTTTGACGTGAGATGGTCCACACATCGGAAGTGGCAGCTGATGCCTTGGCAATAGCAGTAGCATTAGCATTAGCAGTAGCAGTAGTAGATGACAATTTGGTTGTGGCCAACAAGTGTTTGGAGAGCCGAGTGACGGATGAAGAGAACATAATTCTTTTATTAAAAGAACTTGTGTTTTCAAAAGCAAGTCTCAGAAGGAAAATGGAATGGTCGATTCAGTGGATGAAAACGAAACGGCTACCAAGAGTACGAGAGACTGATGCTGGTCTTCTGTACCGTATTCAAACTCTTCGATGATGGATGAAGAGGGCATCATCATCATCGTCATGCACCACAAGCTAAAGAGCTCGTGAGGAGGACGGACGCTCGCTCTTCATCTTTCATGAGTCAAATTGGGGGAGAGTGAGTCATTATTTCCCCAGAATACGTTCGTATCGTGTGAAATCATTTCCGTGGAATACAGTAAGTTCCTCTTGCTTTTTGCATCTGGCAACGAAAGCACGGCTTTTATATCTCGTCTTATCAATCCAAACCAAGTCTGGTATCATCACTTCAACATTTACTCAGCCTTATCATTGATCACTAGCTGAAGCGTGAGAATCTTGTCTACTGGACGACAGCTTTTCTCAGGTTCTCTCCTCCTACAGTAAATCTGGTGTGTTGTCATTCTGGTCACGCTTGTTTCTGAAGATTCTGATCAGCAGTCTTACTATACAGGTGCAGGTGCAGCAGTATTACATCAGTTCTACAGCAGTTCTACATCAGTTCAGTCCAAGAATCAATCGATCATCCAAGCCAAGAGACGAACTCATAAATTCAGCAATAGACGAAACAAAAAGGCATCATGCACCACAAACTCATTGGTGGTGACTTGGACAGTGGCTACCAGTACAGTCAAAATGGCCGGAGACGAAGAATCCAACCAGTTTCTTCCAATCGAATGTTGGGTGGATTTGGGAATTATTATGAAAGTGGTACAGATGATGAGGATGAGAGAAACATGACCCATGTGGGATACGACCACATACCTCTGACGCCGGGATTGTCACACGCGGTCCGCTTGGAATTGGGTACCGATCCCATGGTCTTGGGTCCGGAACGCAAAATATCGGATGCGGATTGTGATTCGGAGGACGATGATTCAGCATCCAGATCATCATCGTCGGAATCATCCGCTCCATCGACCGGATTACGCAATCGGGACGACGACGATGACGACGACGATGATGAACCAATGGAAATTAGACCATTGTACAAAGAAGAGCCAACCACCACTATCACGGAAGATCAAGCAACGCCAAATCTATTCTTTCAGCAGACGAAGAAAGCTCCAACGATGTTGTACAATACGACACGATCCAAAGACGTTCTGCAACTCAAATTGGCCATGCAAAAACAGACAGAATTTGATGACCTTTATCGGGATATGGATCACCGTGATCACTGTTTTTCCACTCCAGCGAAGGCCTCGATCCCAACTTTTGAGCCTACTCCTCCTACAACAACTACTATCCCAACTACTACCAACAGGACTACCATTCCGAATCGAAAGCGGAGCCGGAGCAACAGCCGAAGCAATAGTCCCGTTCCGCAATTCATTGCCGTATCTCCGGAAGTATTAGGTGCAACAGAACCTGCCCGTAGACTCAAGTCACCACCACCAGGTGCGAGTCCGAGTGTTGCTGGTGGTGGTGGTGGTGGTGTGGCTACTGCTACTGCTGCTGCTGCTGCTTCTGCTACTTCGGCAGCAAACACACCCAATACCTCCTCCGTTTTACTCAAGTCCACCTATGTCCGCAGACCTCACAAGAACAAACGCAAGAGCAAGTCTGAGATGGCAACCACCACCAGTACCGCCAGTGCTGGCAAACTGGAAAAGCAGACGTCTACTAAGAAAAAGGCATCCCCTCCCAATAAGAAACCAAGTCCCCCAAAGCAGCAGCAGCCACAGGAGCAGCAGCAGCAGCACCAGCTGGAGGACTCGGAGGAGGACAGTCGATTCAAGCGTTTCCAGAATACTCAATGGAATAAGAAATTCCAAGAATTGCTCATCTTTCGCAAGGAGAATGGTCATTGTCAAGTCCCGCATACCTGGCCACCCAATCCTCAATTGGCTCGATGGGTCAAGCGACAACGATATCAATTCAAATTGAGATGCGAAGGCAAGCTATCCACCATGACGGAAGACCGGATTAGCCTATTGGACGACGCTGGCTTTGTCTGGGATTCTCATGCGGCGGCCTGGCAGGAAAAGTACGAAGAACTCAAGGATTACGTCAAGAAGAACAAGACCTTCAACATGGGAAGTTCGTATTCGACCCATCCGCAATTGGCAACTTGGGTCAAGTGCCAACGACGGCAATATAAATTGTTGATGGCTGGAGAGGAATCCAACATGACTCACGAAAGAAAGGACTTGCTGGAAAAATTGGGATTCTTGTGGGATGTCCGAAAAAGTGGACACTCCGGCACTCCAAAGAATAAATGAGAGCGCGATTTCGTATGGAAGAGAGGCAAAGCGTTATAATGTGTCGCAAATCGATTATAATAACAATAGAGTTAACAATATAGGAATATCATATTAGAAAGAATACTTTCGTAAGTTTGTTCTTTGTTTGGTTCATTCGGCACACATTATATACCAGGGTACTAATCCATCGATGGATAGTGCTTACTACCGGAGTTGACCGCTATCCGAAATGACCACTGATGAATGGAATTAAATGAAGGTTCAGTGATTGATTGAATAAATGAATGCTTGGAGCCTTCTGTTGGTATCTTTTCTGTTTGTTGACTGCTTACCTTGGACACGAGTTCTTCCGGAATCACTTCCGACCTGTTCAATGGCGGAAATGACATCTTGCCCCGAGATAACCTTGCCAAACACAACATGCTTGGAATCTGTTTATTGAAAGAGCTGGTTAGGAAGCAATAATAATGGCGATTTCAATAATGATTCATCGAGATGTATAGGATCGTACTTAGCCAAGCCGTTTCGGCAGTGCACAGGAAAACTGTGGTTTGAAGAAACGGAAAGATGAGTGATCGGCCATAATTACAACAACACACAGCAGCAGCAGGGGACAACATCTATTACTACGTACACTGACTCCCGTTGGTGTTTGGTCCTATACAATCAATAGAGCGAGCGGATCAGAACAAATTGTTAGCACTGCCTGTCTCTGGGTCTACAATCTCAGAGCAAAATGTCGACCACGTACCAGAATTTGCCATACTCAAGATTCCCGGTCCAGTGTGCTTCAGCTTGAAGTTTTCGTCTGCAAACTTTTCCCCATAGATGCTCTCGCCTGAAATATTGGTTCCAATTCAAGGATTTCGATGATGAATATGATAAGGCTCACAATCTGAAAACCAAAAAAAGGCATTCCCGAGCTCTATACGTACCTCCAGTTCCATTTCCTAAGATTGTTTGGAATTCATCAACCAATGAAAATCTTTGGTCAGCCATAATGAATCAAATAAAAATCATAATGTTTGGGCGTGTTAACGTACCTCTTGTAAAGTCTCCACCCTATCATCAGAATCCATGATGAGAGATAACAAAGAAACAAAATAGGTGATGACCGACACATCTGTGAGATCTACCGATCGTCTACATGCCACACCAAAACAATCAGCACGATGCACGAGATGAAAATTCCATACCTGGCACATAAACCCAGGAATCACGCGATGGAATGCAGATCCCTTGAAATGAAGCAACTTGCCCGATCGACCAATTCCCTTTTCACCGGTGCAGAGACAACGAAAGTTCTCGGCAGTCCTGGGGACAACATCAGCTCTTAACTCCATCTCTATGCGTCCCTTAAGGGATCCGCCAATAGTGATATCGAAAAAGACAACAGGATTCTCAGCAGACATTTTGGAAAAAGCAATGAGTTGTGTGAATGATACCAGTCTGACTGATGACACCTTGCGATGAACGATCAATGCCCAAATGCATGACGAGATGAAATCTTAAAATTTGCGTCTGTGCGGCAGTTCGTCCAAAAAACTCATTCGAATGAATCCAATTTGCCGTACCGGTACTTATTTTATTCAAGAGATGAAACTGATGGTGATAGATATCGTAAATTTTGCATCTCACATATCTTTCACAACAAAGAAGATTGCATCGTTGTGCGTTTGTTAGGGTCTCCCAATATGGAAAAAAATCGTTTCTTGATGTGGATGCCGGACGTCTTCTTCTAACGTA